TTGGCCGCAGGAGTTAAATTCGTGTAACAAAGTAATTCTAAACTGAACCTAGTAAAATCCAGATTTTTAGTCCCGTTGATAGTTATATAAGAGTGGAATTTGAGATTTTTTATTAACTATGCTTTTATTTAAAAACAAATTTACTACGACAAATTGTTGTAACGTAACCAGGAGATAGTTTACTTAACCTTATGAGTTTAAATCCGTCAACTAAGGAGCATGTGGTCAAGTCCATCTCAAGACCAAGTTATTCAAACTAACTTTGCACCGTTAATTGACTAGCACAACACTGCGAATATGTTTGGCTCCGGTGTAATAATAACTAAGCCACAACACGTTCTAACACTTAGAGAAGATCAAAAATGGTGAGCACAGGGAAACTTGATTGTTGTGGTCTGACTCGACAATTCAGGCGGGGTCACTAATTAACTTTTTCCTCTTCATATTAAATATATTATTCTATCTCCGGCACAAAAATGTTATTCGGAAGTCTTAGAAAACATGGTGCCGACTGTCACGTAGGACAAATTAGTATAGGCAATAATGGGACTTCAACGTAAGGTCTGAGAGACTTGTAGCGGTAAATAAATCTCCAAAATCAATGACTCTGTAAGTCTTTGACATTTGATGTCAACCGCATTAGTTTTATTGAAGTCACCTAGCTGAAGGCTAGCCATCCGCACCAGATCACGAGTGGATACGCTGTGCCATACATCTACAACGTCTAGTTAGCTTAGACTGATCACCTATCGATACATCGATATTCTACTAAACATATCTTTGAACCTCTTCTCTTCTGGCTTCTGACTTGACTGTGTTGACATACTTTGATTATAAGGATTGTTACTTATCTAGGCGCTGACAAGCTCCGAATACATACAGCATCTTTAGACTTAGTGGATATATCATGGCAAATCTATACATTTGGGACTTTGCCTTTTATTTTAGTACGAAGGATAAGTGCACTTAATACCGACCTAGATATCACTACCACATGTCATCATACACGTTCATAAAAAATGTCACATAAAAGAAACAAAGTATCAAGCTTTAATCCAACAAAGTCATCAGGCAAGCATGCGCAGATATTCACGAACTCATGTGCATAAACAACTAAAGGCTTGCAGTCATTTATTATAGTGTTTACAAGACAACCAATAGGATTACATTTGTAAATTTGACAGCCAAACACTTGTCTCATGCCTTTATAACAATGCTAAAAAGAGGTCCATAGAATAACAGGAAAAGGATTAATGATTCGTATATTCAGAAACTAGAAAAAACGCGTTTTATCTTAGTCTCAAAGATGGCTGGTAGTCCACGAACTTCATCAATCAGTGTTCGATAAACTTCAGCTTTAGTAACTATGGCTGTTACTAAAATGTTTCCTTATCGTATCATTCGGTAACTAATTAATAATGACTGTTTATCAGCTTACGAAAAATCCAGTGTAAGCTAAAATTTATTCTGAAAGTCATATCTCAACGGTGTTGCCACATACCACTGAAGTCTGAGGGCTATGAGTGCACGAAAGCATTTTACTGATCAAAACACCCCCAGCAACGATTAATGTCTAGTTTTCGGTCCGAATTAACGACGAAACATCATCTGTACTGTAAAAGTAAAACAAGTTGTCTTTCCAAATCTCAGCGGCAGCCCATAGGCAAGTTCCATTTTACCATTTATTTGTTTCTTCTCCCTGCTGTGTATTTTAACCTTTGTTCAGATCTCGTTTAATCACACCTTTTGTTCTTCAGTCTTCCTCGTCTGAGCCTTTATTATATGATTTTGATTAAAGACTTATCTTTTGGTACCTAATTTCCCTTCATACCTTATGATATCATCCCACAATCTACGCAATAAGGAGAATATTCTAGCGATTCCAAGAACCCACACAAACTTACGTCAGAATTTTTTCCTTATTCGCTACTCAACCATGTGGAACAGAATCCCAGTGAACCTTTGTTGCAGTGAAACTACAATTTGGATCAGAAGTCTCCTTGACGATGTTCTTTCCGTAAGTGGATAGTGTCACCTATTGAATATTAATGTATTCAATAATGATTTATACAAACAAGGTCCGTCATTCATCTAATTGATTGAAAAGCAAAATGAAACATTTGAAACTTTTCACGTCTATTTTATTTTATTTCTGTTCATCTTAATATATGAAGTCTGCTTATGTTCGTATTTATCATTATCACCGTTATTAATATCATTATTAGTTCCCCGTCACATTGGATATTCTTTTTATTTCTTCTTATCCCTCTAAACATATTTAACTCCAGATTGTCCTTTGAAATTAATTGTGACTTTCATAGCATCATTTATAATTATTATTGCACAAATATTTTCTATTAATATCCGGTTTCACTCTGTATACTATTACATAAATCTAAATGTATTCATCCGAGTGCATTGAAGGATTTTTATTTCATTTTTCTCAGTTGCTAATTTACTTCTGAGGTCGATATTCATTACACAATTATTATCCTTATCATGGATCAAAACTTTTCACTAAGTGTTCACTTCTTTTCTCTCTCTTCTTTCCTTCTAAATAATTATTGCTCTTAAGATTACGAAGTTTGTAATTAAGACAATAACTTGTGTTACACTTAAATTAACTTCTCAGACCCGTTTTATCTTCACTATGCATATACGACTACTCATACATATTGATATTTTATTATCCTTTTCACTAAATTGTGACTTTCATAGCATCACTCTAAACTATTGCTGCACAAACATTTATTCTAGCGTCATATCTTACTGCAATTATAAGTTTTTTTTTCTAATTATTTTTGTTACTAATTTAACGATACACACATAGTCGTTTATTCTTGTTCTGTGTTCATAAACACGCCAATTAAACTGTTTGCGTATTTCACGTCACCTTTATTTCTATTCCCTTATTTTCTCCATTTTCTTCTTTAAACTCAATTCAATATTCTTCTCAATTACAAAGACCCGATTTATTATTATTAATGTTCTGCTATTATTGCTCTAAATTTTTTTTTTAAATGGCAAGTATAATGCTGACATTATTGAAAATTGTGGATTATTGCATTTTTCGAAGAAACCCGAAATGGTATCTTCACAACACTTATGTACCCATAAGATGTTTGTGAATAATAATAATAATAATAATAATAATAATAATAATAATAATAATAATAATAATAAAAGGGCTGTTCCAAGTTGCTTATGGTGCCGAGGTCAGTTGACTATGAGAGAAATGTGTTTCCTGCCACCAAACCAATTAGTTCATCTTCAAGCTACTACGATGAATACCGAAGCATGTCGTTTAATTTTTTATAAATAGACATGTAAATGATGCAGCGTGTTCATGATTTTGGAATAACCTTTTTTCTACCATTTTCGGTAATGTATTAGGTCTGTGCCCCCAAAATTATCGGAATTGTATCAAGTGACACAGTGAGAGTCAAACAAACCGAAACCTAGACAAACTATTCTTCAATCTGAGTATACCTGACTTACAATTTTTGTGAGTTGAAAACCATTCCGAATTGAAGCAGTTTCTTGTGATAGAAAGCTGGGGCAGACCTAAATTTTCGCTTTCTGATGGTGCGGTGACTTGACGTACTCATTATTTTGTTGGCCATTATCAGATCACCTCTTGTCCTCCTATAGTCCGATGAAGTAATCCAAAGTATTATACTCCGTGTTTATAAAATTTGTCCCTTAGCTCCTTCACCCAATTAGTTGCCCGTCTAAGAAGTGGGTTGAGTATCGTTGGTCGGGTTCACTAACGTAGGGTTCAGGCTCAGTAACGGTATTGGTTAACCTGTTTGTGGCTACAGACTGGTAGTTTCAATATAAGGTGGCTGACTTACTATTATATGAATGTTCACTTTATATGACTTTACATCGGAGTCATATTATTGCTCATACTTTCCCATTCTGTTGTGACATTTAGAAATATCATTTACAAGAACACTTGCTAGTGATAGAACAGTAAATCCAATATTTAAACGTGATTTCAGTGACGATGCTTGCATAGAAGAGCCATAAGGTTTTATATCCACTCAAGTACTGTCAAACCTTCAGGGTCAACAGTCGTAAAAATGAAGGATGAATTTCGATACATGCAATCTCGATAATACTCTCACACTGTCTACGACCTTCAAAATTGTTCGTCAAACATTGAATGCCTAGCTTCAATTCTCTTGCTGAGTTTATGTTCGGCTTCAAGGATGACTTGTAACGGTTCAGTGGCACTCCATTGTCACTAAAGATTTAACATCGAATGTGGAGCGGTTTACGAAAAATAGTGCAGGTTAAAAAATGCCATGATGGTAAGACCACCAAGACGGTATTATTTTGTCAGTAAGGCTATGCTAGTCCTTCAAACGTCTTTAAAGATCAAGACACTCTGACCACGACAATAGAGCATTCAGGATAGTCAACCATGTGATATCAACGTAAGATTATGCGGATTGGACAGCTACATCATCACAAGCTAACTATATAAGATTAATTAATCTAGTAGCATAACTAGTAATAACGATCATAGCCCTAAACCAAACACTACCCCCCACTACGTAGCCAAAATTGGGGCGAAGGCTTACATTTGCCACTCACGGTAATTGAAAAGTCTTGTTTTCTATTCACCAAAACCTAACAGTCCCTTGTCCTTCTTGACAGATTTCTTAAGGACAGTGTTCTAGTTTGTTGCGGACTTTGATATGCATGTCATCACCTTCAGGTGAGTGTAGGCTGAAAACATGAGGCACTTAAACTGGTAACCCATAATGGACAACATTTTGAGACAAATTTTCGAGCTACGAAATCAGTATGTTTCTCATAGTAATCTACTAGTTCTTGTGCTTTATCTTATTGTTGATAACGGGTGTTAAACACGAATATCCGTGATCAAAGGACTATCAATAGAAGTTTATTTATGTCATCAAGACAGGATTCAAGTAGCTTATTAGGATAAGTAAAACCACTAGGGCTTTTGTTTTCTATAACATCAAGGCTTCGTAGATAGAAAAACCATTATATTAAATTTTATGCATTAAATTCAGAACACAAAAAATGCAATTGGGAAATGTACAATAATGAAGTCAATTGGTGTTCCGCTTATCATTGAACAATGCAATGTATTTTCCCACCTAAATGATCTGCATATTTATTAGCAAGTTCTTGACGTAATTTAAGCAACAATGTCCGTGTTTTAATTAACTGGTTTAATGAATTATCTAATTGTTCTTTGTTGAAATTATTTGATAATTGAGATGCAGTAGTTATGACATCATCAAATGAAGCTTCCCATGCATTTTTAATAAAACAATTATTAGCTAAAAGAGGAGATAGAGAACTTATTTAGTTTACTTACATTTCAATAGTTAACATCAGTATTAACAGCATTATCACTTTAAACAAGTTAAGAAAGATGTTAGTAAACAGGTCTATGTATAAGATCAATGTGATAATAAGTACATTTCAAATAGTCATTAACTTAATGGTTGAATTCATGAGTCAATTAAAGCTAGCTCAGGTGGTTGATTTTGATGGAGTTTTGTTCTCTGAGCTAGATGGTCCAGTTTTTTAAATAGTTCATAGATGATGATACACAGTTCAAATGAATTAAACAGCTCTTCATGTCTAAGCTTTTTCAACAGGTGCAGATAGTCCTTATCTCATTTTAAAATAACTCTGAAGACGAACTAGCTGCATCGACTGGATTCTACGTCGAGGTTTATTCTGTCGAAGAAAAACCAAAAAACAACACAAAACGACGCCACAGACCTCTGACACACAATTACTCGTTATCTTGAAATCCTTTATAACCGCAGACACCCCAAAACTTGAAGGAATTCATCATAAAAAATATCTCTCTGTAGACCACGAGAGGCAGATAATCATTTCTGACTTGACTAGATTAGCATACTTCAATTATAAAAGTGTTACTTGTAAAGTCAATGTCAAACTCTGAAAGCGTGTGGTGTCTTCAAAATGATCTGTGATCAATAGTCTAAATCTACATTATCATACCTACAACTTACCCTTGAATGCCGTGGTATGGCTGAGGGTAAGGAGAGTCAGCTCTCCTTCTCGAAAAGCTCACACATAGAGACGCGTATATATTCACTCCCAGGGTATTCCTACTCATTGCCTTCTCGCAGCATTACTGTTGTTTACGAAATTGAGAAAACGAATGTCCGACGCTTTAAGCGGGTTGATGGACGCGGAGAGTATACCTAAAAAAAGTTGGAAAACCCTGATCCCAAACCAATAGTGTATATGAACTCTGGGATCTTCAGGGAACAAATGGCGTATGAAGCAATTATTGCATCTGCTGACGTTGCTCCACTGCCTTGTATATGAAATCTTTAGATCAAAGTCTCGAGGAATAACCCCTTAAGAAAATCATCTGCTCCAGTTTGGGCACCCGGGCAATATCTCAACTCTCACAAAAATCAAATGACTTGTGTGGTGCATATATATATATATATTCGGTGCCCGTTTGTACCAATATTGATGTGTTCAAATAAATAAATATTAACCTACAACTTAACAGCTTGAAAATGTACTAATCACAATGTTGATACATTTGAAAGTTAGAACATTGAACTGGAAATTATTCATAGTGTCAAATAATTTGTCTAATGGATTATTGTATAATAAAATAGCTTACTTTTATTCTCAGCATTACAGATTGATTGTATTTGTAGTGATGATGAAATATCTTCTGATAATGTACTAATTACATAATCATTATTGTTCATTTGTTTTTCATTATTCAATATAATATCATTGATGTTATTTAATAAAGGTTTTGGTTGAATCAACAATTCAGTTAAATTTAATTTTTGTCCTTTAACTAAATTATTTAATTGTTTAGTTAAACAAACAATTTCATTCACATTCTCTTGAATATATTCATATAAACATTGACATAATTGACCATTTGTTGATTTCCATAATGAATTTATATTTAATAATGTATTATAAGCTTTGAAAAGATTTTCAAGTAATGCTTGTTTTTCTGATGTTATCTAAATACATTGTAAATAAGAGGACAGTAGACAAGTGAAAGGAATACGATTCCAAAACAATGTCAATTATTGTACAAAACTGTCAGGTATTTATAGTTTGTTTTTTTTTATTAAAAATGAAATCATCACTAAAAAGTCATCCGATCCACATACAAGGGGTTAATAGCATTTGTTCAATCGGGAAGCTACACGTAAAAATTCTAGTATATTCTTCCGAAAAGGTGATTAGAAGGAATATCTTCGGCTGTTTCTGAGCTTTTTAGAGTTTCCTCGAGTTCACCCGTGGACTGCTCTCCCACCTCAACTCTTTAAAGTCTATTGTGTAAGACGTTTTCCACGAGTACACCTGAAACTTGGTTATCTCATTCTTTTTGTGGTTCATAACTCCTGATGGTTGTGCCGCTTCGCCCTCGCGTCTTTTATCTCTTCTACATTCGCTCACCTTAAGGCTTTGTCGAGATGAATCCACGAGCAATTGAAACGGGAGTCGGTTTAGTGTGATCACTGTCCTGTCGTCCGTTTGAATTTGATTTATATGTCTTATACATGTTCCGACATTTCTTCGGATCAGGTACAGCAAATTGCCGATCCGAAGTTCTATAACACCTACTTCCTATCACCTTGATACGATTTAACAAGTACCCTTGTACGCACCTGGAAGCTACAAGTGGATTTATTTGTCTTCCTGGGCTGTAATATACTGGTATAGACTGTTCGGAATTTCCTTCTGAACATAAACTTGGCTGGTGACTTTCTTTCTGGTACTACTGGATTGGGGGGAGTAACTCTGTAAGACATAAAGAATTTACTAATCACTTGTTTTGAAATACCTTTTCCTCCCCGTTTGACCAGAGCTCGAAAAGAAAAACAAAACAATCACACCAAAAGAAAATAACTCACGTCAGAAATCTGCTTTTTTAATTGTCGAATTTCAGCACGTCTAGTTGATAAGGATGCTTTAATACCAGTAATTTCTGCTTCTACACGTTCGTGAAATTCATTGAATTTAAATTGTTCCATTTTTTGATGAGTTTCTGCCGTATCTGCACGACATGTTTCCGCTTCAAGAAGCTAATACATACACAATAGAAAACATTACATTACATTAGTGGACTTTATTAATCAATAAACATGGTAATAATAATAATAATATCAACTTCTATGGTTTTGAATGTTTAGCTAATGACATAGTAACAGAAAATAGGTATTTGCAAAAAACAAAAAAACAGTAATCAATTGTCAATGAACAGTTTGTTCACTATATAAAACAAAATGTAGCAATTTATTCAAAAGGTTGTCTGAATACAAACAGACCAGCTACAAGAAAAGAATGACAGATTATCATTAAACATTCAATTCATTGATATCTTTTCAAATAACTAGCCAATATGAACCACAATGAGATCTAATATTACCTAGTACTTTATATACCAATACATGTTAGGGTCTACTTTTTGATAAATGGAAGTACAATATGTAATTTAATGTAACGTTAACGAAAAAGGAAAGGATTACAGTGAATTTTACTCAGTGTCATGCATTCACCAATCTATAACAGTGAAGATAATAAAGACGTTGTAATCCATCGTAAAGAACTGCACAGGTAAAGAGTTGACTTGTACATTAAGGTCGGCATGGACAACACCATGTATGAAGACTTTATAGGGCGGCATGATTTAAGAGAAAGGAGAGACTAGTAGATCCATTCGCTTTCAATATGATCATAAACAGAAGTGTTTTCCCTAACAAATAAACACATAAAGTTATATGGGTACCACCGGACCACACTATAGGAAAACAGATAGATCACATCTGTATCAATAAACATTCAAGTCTATGGAAAACGGAAGAACAAACAGAAGTAATGATGTGGATTTAGACTACTATCTGTTGGTGGACAAGCTAAAACTGAAGTTAAAGATGCATTGGACACTTGGACAAGTAGGATTGTAAAATTTTAATACACCCTTCCTTTGAGATGTCGATAAACTCAGAGAATTCAAGAGTCCCATGCCTTACTTACCTACTGAAAAAAGACGAAAGCACTATGGAGAACAGCTGGATAAGGATTAAAGAACTAATATTTTAAACGTACCAGGAGTTACTGTGCCCCAACAAGCACTAGCATAAATGGTAGATCTCCGTAGACACTCTGAGCAAGATTCAGGAAATGAAAGACAAAAAGACGGTAGTCAACAAAAATCTAAAAACAACTGAGAAAGTCAAGATATAGGCCAAATATACAAAATCAAACAAACAAGTGAAGAAGAGAATTAGGACTGAGAATCAGAAATACATAAGATACCTGGCAACCTCAGCAAAAGAAGTTCCGAGAGGAGGAATTTGAGAATACTATATGATTAAACCGAGTAGCGAGTAGGGAAATGTAGTAAACCAGAGTTATCAGTCAAGAGCAAAAAGTGTAAACCAGTTACGGAGGTTTAAGAACAATGGGCAGGTGGGTAGAGGGTTTTCAACGACTGCTGAATAAACCAATCTAACGGAGCTCAAAGTCATCCAAGCAGTATACATAAACTTCCTTACAGACGGCACTTCAACGACAGTAGTAGAAATTAGTAAGGCTAACAAACAAAGTAGCACGAAAAGACAGGATAACACCTGAATTACTATAGTTAGACATAGAAGTGACTGCAAAGATATTGCATGATCCCTACAGAAAGATATGAGAGGAAGCACAAGTATCAACGGAGCACAAAAAAAGATACCTTGTCAAAATATTAGAAAAGATCTTAGTAAATGTAAGAACTGAAAAAGGATCATGCTATTATCAGTACCAGGTAAAGTTTTCAACAGAATGAGAGATTAACCAGACACTCAACTTTGAGATAAAAAGCTGACGTTCGCAAGGATCGATCACGTACCAATTAAAGTCCAACAACATAAATCATTGTTGACAAATCAGTTGAATAGAACTCATCATTAAACATAAACTTCCGCGGTCATGAGAAATCTTCGCAGAGTGAACGGGAGAACCTTGTGGAGTCGCCTTCGACACTACAGAGCATCTAAAAAGATACCCACCACATCAAGAACTCCTACGATAGACTGGATTACAAAGTTGTGTATTTAGAGCAGTTCATTGATACATCTGAAGTCAAGACTGATGTCTGGTAAGGACACATACTGTCATCTTTCCTCTTCCTTTTAGTTGTTGACTTGATAATGATGACCTAAACATCTCAGGGGAAGCGTGGAACACATTTGACACTTTACACGCAACTAGACGGTTTTCAATTTGCACATGATTCGACCCTCTTATCCTATACACATCGACAAATGCAGTCGAAGACTGCCAGGGTAGCAGCAGCTGTTTCAGCACCAAGCCTTAATAATCACAGGGGAAAAACCAAGATCCCGAAACACAACACAGCCAACAACAACAAAATAATACTTGATGGACAAACTCTGGAAGAGATGGACATTTTCACGCACGTGGCTAGCAACATCGATAAACAAGGAAGATGTGTAGCAAATGTAAAGGCACAAATTGGTAAAGCAAATACATCATTCTTAAAAAATAAAGAACATCTGGAACTCAAAACAACTCTCACCCAACAACAAAGTCAACATTTTCAAAATGAACATTAACACAGTTCCATTGTACCGAGCTGAAACTTCGACAACCACTACCACCATCACCAACAATGTAAAATTATTTATATACAACTGTCTAGGCAAGATACCCCAGATCTGTTGTTCAGAGATAATCGATGATAATCTCTAACAGAGAACATACCACCTCCCATGTTGAGGGGATATTAGAAAAAGATGCAGAAGGTGGATAAGACACACATTGTGGTCATCATAAAATTATATCACAGAGAAAGCCCTTACTTGGAATCGTCAGTGCAAATGGGAAAGAGACACATCAGAAAACACATGGTGTCGAGTGTTTTAGCGTGACATCAAAAGCATAAGTAGAGTATTTCAAAAAACTGGAAAGGCGACTTCAGGCAAAGTTGTCCGAAGACTCCTGGTCAACCGCCTCTCCTAAGAGTAACAAACTTGAATATTTTGTCAGTAAAAATTACATACAAATGCTACAGAACTTATTCATGTGCCAAACTTAGATGGGATTTCCATCATTATTAATTAGCTATTTGACAATCACCATATAGGTACGTTCAAATGTTCGTGAACTACTCACTTTTTTAGTTTTTTCAAATGCGATCTGATAGCGTTCTAACTCACATTTCAAATCTTCAACAAAAATCGGTATAACATTTGATGCTTTCATATTATCGGATTTTCCAGTTTCGCTTTCATTAAGATGCTATACAAAATGTGATAAAAATTAAATGTGGGTAAAAATCATTGATACATATATTTCATTTCAAATCTTTCTGGTACTTTCTTGAATGCTGTCAGTCAGTTAAAAACAGTGTAGAAAATGGTAAGTGTATACACACTGTCCATAGAATAAGTCAGTTTCATGTAAGATTCACTAAATCAAATGGATTATAAAAGGTTAGATTGAATGATTTGATAATTGAATTCATGAGTCAACTGAAACTAGACCACCATGGAAAACCTGGAAGCAGTGGTCTCCAAGAGGTATTTTCTGGAGTTCTAGTGAGAAGCAGTGACCAGTGGAGTTCAACCGGGTCAGTTGTGACATAGTAACTCACTGATGACAATGGTGGATGTGTCGCTCAATTTCGTGGATTAGTTGAAGTCAGACACTAACACCGCTGGATGCCGGCTCAGTGGTTTAGTGGTTAAGCGTTCGTGTGCGAGCCAGATAGGTTGTGGGTTCGAATCTCGTGAGGCAAGATCGTGGATGTGCACTGTTGAGGAGTCCCATACTAGGACGAAACGGTCGTCAAATGTTTCCACGTTTTCCATGGTAATCTAGCTTCAGTTAACTCATGATCTTAATTATTAAGATTGACTAATCATTTATTTTCTAACAGCCTACTACATATTAAGTGAAAAGTAAAACTGAAGAGTTTAACATCAATTCAACATGTGAGTCAGTCAGTCAGTAACAACGTAGAACTTCGTACGTACGTACATCAGTTCGAGTTGCCATACCACATTAGCACAGAGATGCAGTGGTCGATTCAAATCCCGTAGTGGTAGAGGTAGTAAGTGTATAAGCAGTAATCGGGAAGAGTAGGGTTTGAAGATGCTATGCAAGGAGTATAATCCAGTGAAATAAATTTGGAAAGAGAAAAAAGAAAGGAACATGAAGAATTCAGAAGATTAGAATTTGAAAGAACACAAAGAGTGGATGCACCTGCGCCATTGCAAACGATTTTGAGATATGTCATTCAGGGTCTCTAACCATCGGTTGCTACCATCTCGCGGTCTCCAACCAGGTAGTCTACATCTACCAACATGGCTCAGTCCACTTGTCAGTGACTTCATGGATTTGTGCCATGTTTTGGTCTGTCCGCCCCTAGCTCTCTTCCAACCTACTCCTACACCATGAAACATCGCACGTCATGGCAGTCGGTGGTTGGGCATACGTAACACGTGTCCCAGCCATCTCAGTTGATGAAGTTCCATCACTTCATCAATTGATTTGCCATCCTTACCTAGTACCCGTTTCCTAACAACTGCGTTGCTTACTCGATGGTCCCAGGATATACGAGCAATGTTTCGAAGACACCTATGATCGAATACTAGTAACCTACGAATATCCTCTACTCTATAAATGACTGTTTCTAACTGTGATTTTACTTGAATCAGTAATAAATTTTAAAATAAACTAGAGTTTACACAATATTCAAAGTGTTTACCTGACAAAATAAAATCAAGTTCAAGTTAAGAGTTTGTGTTCAACTATGTATAAATGTGGTTAACGAGAATACAAGCGGGGGACAATCGAATGTATTACAAAACAAAATTACGGAACATCTTAGTATAATCTGTGAATCATACAGTAAATACTTCATTTAAAAATGTTCATCGATTGTCTCAAGCTTGATTGTTCGCTTTGCAAATGTCAGTAAATCGTCGCAGGATTCATTGTTCCTGCATTTTCACACTAATTGCTTTCCGTTCACGTTCTTTTCTAGATCTTCTAGTGAAATACATTCTATCTTTGACTATCGTAATATACTACTTATGTGGATATAAGTAGCTCACACCACATTAATCATTTCCTTTAACAGAAACATGAAAATGTGTATTTGAAATAATCTCAGTGATTGAAATTTAAAATAATTTCAACGTTTCATCCAGCGAACTTGCTTGGAAGTCTTCAGGATAATAATGAAAATCAAAATCATTTAAAGAAATATATAATGATCAAATAAAACTAGACGTAGTTTAATACACGATAGTCGTGTCATTTCATATGGATGATTTCATGTTCTGTGCAATTCTTATTTAATCCTGTAATCCCAAACAATAATAACTACTGTAGTGAACGATCATTTGGTGGGGATGACCAAATTATTGTTTAATGCAGAATTGTAGAGTTCTTCCATAAAATATGAAAAACATACATTAAATCCTTCATTTGCAAATCTTCCATCAATTGTTCTTTACATCCAATTCTCAATATCTTTGTGTTTCTCTTTCTCTTTTCTTCAGTTCAACCTTCTCAACCTTTTTTTAACAGATATTCCGGTTATTATTGGTATTAAATGCGACTTTTGTCTGTTGGCATAATGTAGCATACACCGCACAAGTACATACTCTTCATTGAGTATACTAACAGTACTAACTGTTTACTGTTTTCATACTTCAGCATAAAGATAGTATTTGACAATTGTCCTAAAGGAGTCTAAACAAGTTTTCTGGACGAGACATTGAAATTATTCTTAAATTTTAATCACTGAAATTATTTCTCTACACTTGATGCCCAATTGTTGACAAACTATTCATTTTAATTCACTTAGTGTTGTTTTACTTGTATCTTCCTATTGTTATACAGGAGTGCATTTGATTAGTCTCATGTTGACATATGTGCATCCTGTACGGGTTGCCTCGATATAGCCTTAAATTATGATGGCGTTTAAAGCGAATGGTACTAGGTTCAAGTCCCGGAATGAACACCAACTCTGAGATGAAGCTACATTCAGTTGACGAGTCCCAAATGGGACGAAACGCGCGTCCTGGATTCCACTGACTAGTCACTATCCATCGTTGCTTATTCATTTTCATCTTGATAAATTAAACATAAATTATAATAGAATGTAATAATATTACCCCATTATGAATTGTATCTAATTGGATTTGAAGTAATTGTTCACGTTCTTCATATTGTTTCATTTGATTATTGACATCAGTTAATTGTCTATCACAATTCATTAATTTAATTTTATATTCTTCAATATGATTTTCTAATAATACATTTTGATTTTTAATGAATTGAAACTAAATTGTAAAAAAGAAAAAAACAACAACAAAAATACATAAAACATATTGAATGGATTTATGATATCAATATATCAAGTATGTAATGTATGTATTTAATGAAAGAGTCAGGTTTCAAGGATAACTAATCCCAACATCAGTAGTATATTCCAGAGTATAAATACATGATGGTAATAGAGTGGAGAGAGTCAGCTCTCCATATCGAAATGCTTTCATATGACCATATGCATACAACCATTCCCAAGGAAGTCTTACTCACTGTCTTCTCGCACCACGAGTGTTGTTTACGAAATTGAGAGGATGAAAAGTGAATGTCCGGCACTTTAACCGGGTTGGTTGACATGGAGAGTCCACCTAGGGGAGTTGGAAAATAACCCTGATTCCAACCCAATGGTGCACATGGGCTCCAGTATCCTGAAGGAATAAATGGTGTATGAACCAATCTTTGGTCACCGGCTACCATGGGACTGCATATCCTCACGATGCTCCACTGCCTTGTGGATCAGACCTTTAGATCGAAAGCTCTGGGTGTGGCACCCTAAGAAAACCACCTGCTTCGGTCGAGAAGTTCGTGTATCTGGATTGCTGCATAAGTGCTGGTGGGGGTGTGAGTGATGAGATCAATGCACGTATAGTGAAAGCCAGAGCGACTTATGCCAATCTGGGACATCTTTGGCGCCTTCGTGATGTTAGTATGGCTGTAAAAGGTTGGATCTACAACGCGTCGGTGAGAGCAGTTTTGCTCTATGCTTGTGAAACCTGGCCTCTCCGAGTTGAGGATGTTAGATAGCGCTCTGTGTCTGATCATCCTTCTCTCCGAAGGATTGCTGACATCCAGTGGCAACACCATGTTAGTGTAACGCAGAGGTTCGGCATCGTGTATTCGGGCATAGCGATGATAATTCAATTGGTGTTAACATCTTGAAACATCGACTTCGGTGGCTTGGACATGTTCTATGAATGTCGTCCCTGAGAATTCCACGTCGTGTATCATTTGCCGGCGCTGGGACTGGTTGGTCAGTATATGACATGGTGTCGTGGTATAAAAGAAAGCTGCAAAGGGCTGGCTTCTGTTGGTTCTTCACGACTCCCTGGTTGGGGTCCGAGAGATGTTGCAACACAGTGGCTAGAGACGTTATCAGATATGGCTCAGAATAGAAGCCAGTGGCGATCCTGCTGTAACCTTCTTTTACTTTCTTCATAAAAAAGGTTGTTTCTTCGTTAACTGAATGATTTCTTCTGATTGTACCTTTCCGTTTCCCCCATTATTACTATTGTTATTATTATTACACTACCTTACACTAATCTGTTTGGTATTGTTTTTTGTCTTCGAATTCTCATTGTTTTGTGTGGTGCATATATATTTGGTGCCCTCTTGTACCAATATTTATGTGTTCAAATAAACAAATAAATAATAACCTGCTTCGGTTTGGGCACCTGGGCAGTATCACAGCCGTCACACATATCAAATGTGATTTGTGTGGTGCATATGTATTTGGTGCCTCCTTGTACCAATATCTTTGTTAAAATAAATAAATAAGGAAACAATAAGCGTATGAACCTATTGTTATTCACCGGCTACCATGATATTGCATCTCCTGACGTTGCGCCACTGTCATGTGGATCAGACTTTTAGGTCAAAGGCTCCGGATGTGGCTCCCTAAGAAAACCACCTGCTTCTGTTTGGATACCATGGTAGTATCCCAGCCCTCGCACAAATCGAATGATTTATGTGACTCATATCTATTTGGTGCCTTCTTGTACCAATGTTTATGTTTAAATAAATAAATAAATAAGTAAATAATGTTATCTCAATTAAACACCAGTAGATTGAATAACTTAGGTGAAATTGTAACCAACAAGTGTATACATTTGACAATAGAAAACATTGTTTATACTTATTTTTATTACATTTAATAAGATAATTAATTTTAGGATATTCATCTGTTAGGGACGTTAGATACCCAGAACTCACTCCGAAAAGGTCCTAATTTTGTAATTTTATTTCGAGATTTTGAATTCCTTTTTTCGCATCAAAAGCGCTCTTTTCACCTTCATGTTGTATTTCCCACTTGGGTGAATCTTAAACGCTATTGGTCCAGTGTAACGCTTCCCAAGGACTCCTTTGTACTGTATATATACGCTTTGATTTGTGTCTGTTGTTATCGCTCGTACTTCTTGCTTTTTGCGGAATATACTTCCCCGTTCGGGTTTCGACTTCTCTCTCTAGTTAGAGGGGCTAGGACGCATCGGAATAGATAGTTTATTGGTCTTTGGTCACAAGTCTTTGTTCCGTTCGCAGACTAAGTGAACTCGTAATCGCTTCAAACCTACCATCATCTAAGATCACTCATTCATTTTACAGATTCAATCAAATCTTTTAAGTATTAGATATTTAAATATGTTTATTCAATTTTTATATGATCCTTGGTATGTTTAAAATTATCCAGGTCAAAAAATGTAAAAACATCAGTTGTAAAATTAACGAAATATAACTTCATGTGTAATACCTACGATCAATTAACTCTTGAACATTTTTTGTGGGGTTTTTTTTCAATATTCATAACGTCTAACTCCTTTACAAGAAGAGTTCTTTAAATAAAATCAAATGATTCAATAAGAGTAGATGATAGACATTCATCATCCTCTATTGCCAAATACAATCCGAAAGCCACCGTGTGTTTAATGATATTCTTAACACATCTTTTGTGTTGTTGTACAATTGTCGAAAGGAGTATATTAAAGCCTTAGCCATAGGAAAATTCAACCACCCTTTATGTATTAAAAACAGTCTTTTCTCATCTTAAACCTACAATAGTAACATAATTTTGATGTTTGATTATATTTCCTTGAAAAAGCTAAAACCAGATTGCTAAGCAAAACGTTAGATTTACTACAAATCCTTTCGCTGAGATTTTACAAATACAACATTCTTCCTCTTTAATGTCTCAGATTAACTCGGCACCCAAATACTGTGAAACTATTCGATCAAATTTAGACGAAAGTTGTTATCTACACTATTACTTACTTACTTACGCCTGTTACTCCCAATGGAGCATAGGCCACCGACTAGCATTCTCCAACCCACTCTGTCCTGGGCCTTCTTTTCTAGTTCCATCCAATTCTTGTTCATTTTTTTCATGTCTATCTCCATTTTGCGGCGTAATGTGTTCTTTGGTCTTCCTCCTTTCCTTTAGCCTTGGGGATTTCATGTGAGGGATTGTCTTGTGACGCAGTTGGGTGCTTTCCTCAGTATGTGTCCTATCCACTTCCAGCGCTTCTTCCTGATTCCTTCCTCCGCTGGGATTCGGTTTGTTCTCTCCGACAGTAGGTTGTCGCTAATAGTGTCCAGCCAACGGATCCAAAGTATTTTGCGTAGACAACTGTTAATAAACACCTGTATCTTCTGGATGATGGCTTTTGTAGTTCTCTAGGTTTCCGCCCCATACAGCAGAACCGTCTTGACATTTGTATTGAAAATCCTGTCCTTGGTGTTGATTGACAGTTGTTTTGAGTTCCAGATGTTCTTCAGTTGCAAATATGCTACTCTTGCCTTTCCGATTCTCGCCTTCACATCTGCATCAGATACACTGTGTTAATCAATGATGCTGCTTAAATATGTAAAGGTTTTTACATCTTCCAAATCTTCTCCGTACGAAGTTCTACGTTGTTACTGACTGACACTGGATAATAAGCTAATATTACTAGTGTAGAAAAACGCTAACCACAAAAAATTATCTACACTAGTAAGATTAGCTTATTATCCAGGGTCAGTCAGTAACAACGTAGAACTTTGTACGTACGTACATCAGTTCGAGTTGCCATACCACATTAACACAGAGATTCAGTTGTCGATTCAAATCCCACAGTTGTAGACGTAGTAAAAGCATAAACAATAATCGGAAAGATTAGGGTTTGAAGATGTTATGCAAGGAGTATAAACCAGTGAAATAAATTTGGAAAGAGAAAAAAGAAAGGAACATGAAGAATTCAGAAGATTAGAATTTGAAAGAACACAAAGATTGGACGCACCTGCGCACATTATTGCAAACGATTTTGAGCTATGTCATTCAAGGTCTCTAACCATCGGTTGCTATCCAGTGTGATATCGTTTCAAATTGTTTTTCATATTATTTTCTTTACTATCTTTGTCTATTCTTTCCCTCAATTTCCAGTCTAGTTAACCTTTTATTTTAATATATAAATGTTCTTAGCAAGTATATAAAGTGTGATTAGATTGCTCGAAATATATCACATAGTTCTGATAAAATAATTATCTTCTTAGTACATTATCTAAATTTATCAAAGAGATTAATGGCTTCAAATTTCTTTTTAAATAACATTGTCATCTATTTGGACTTGTCCATTGTTTTGTTTATCTATATTGAAAGTTCCTAATAGAAACAAAACTAAAATTTTGGATATGATAGAAAAAAATCGTATTATCAATCAACCTAATGTACTCAAAAGAGAAATCATCTTATCAAAAAATTAGTTACTAGTTATTATAACTTGTGGCCTATGTGCCCTGTTAATACATAACGTAATGATACCACCACCAATGAAAGTACAGTGAATTAACGATCGAACCAGTGACGCATAAAACACGTACGAGCAGTCTAGAGTTCTTATTGGTCCTGCTTCCTGCCTAGCTCAGCCAGTTAAGTCCAGAACACCAATCCAAGCCTCTGCGATATGAATCATTTAATTCAAACATACTTGGTTTATTTACCAGCCAGACAGACCACATCGTACCAATAAAATAGGAAACAACATTTGTACAAAATTTAACCAAATGTGGCTGTGAATGTCGGAGGTAGTAATTAATAGACAGGGCATAATTCAAGAATGGTAAAACATAGGTCAAAATAAATCTCATAATAAGAGGGACATGAAATGAATAGTTATTTAACAATTATACGATAAAAATATGCGCATAGTATTGGTCTATAAATGGATCCCAAAAATCACCATTCATTATTCTCATCGAGACATAACACTAATGTTGAATAAATTCAATTACATTAGTTACTATAGTAATTAAGGCTTTTTTAAAATATACTCACATATATACAAAGATGGAACAATATTTACCTTATTTAAAGTTTCTTGATAATCTTCTAGTGTTGGTAATTTAGCTAAATATGCTTCCATTTGATCAATTTTATCTTGTTTAAGTTGAACAGCTTGTTTATGCTGTGCCAAATCAATTTCTAAAACTGATATCTGATTACGATATGTTTCATTCTAGAAAATTATAACCAATATAAACGATAACATGAGGAGTATACCACCTTTTTTGAAATTGAATTATTATTACACAAATACACACATACCCATACAATCTTGAGTTGTACTAAATAGAATGTTTATTTTACGTGAACTACTATCAATTAAACCTCGATGTTTTCTAACAATCAGTTTAATCATAACTTCAAAAGTTGTAGAAAACGGAGAAGAATGGGTAATCAGGTAAGTTCTTTAAAAAAATACCAATTAGTTGCAAATTTAGGCATAGTATACCATTTTCGACTCATTTTATTTCATTAATGAAAGATACAATGGACAACATGTTAAACAATAATGTTGAAAAATTCTTATCATAACTGAATAGTACAGTGAGTAAAACTGTGGAAGCCGACTCTCCGTACAAACATCCTGGCAAAATCAATACACTGACTATATTTCTAGGCTTTAAGGAGTTGAGGGTATCTAGGGAAACCCAGTACTTATAAGCGGAGTGTTCTACGAAGCCTCTAGGGCCCTGAATCGTCAGTTACATGACATCAAGCGAACTCGGTCACTCTTCATCGACACGTTTTAGTGGATCTTGAATCTGACTTGATTTGATATGTAACAGTAAATAAATTCTCAAAACAGATGTTTCTGCAAGAGTGTGACATTGATGCTGACGATATTAGTCCTACAGGACACATCATTAGCTGAAGGCGCCCAGTCAAACACCTTGTTTGGGGAGGCAGAGCTGCTCATTTCTTATGATAATTAGTCGGCTCAGATTGCACATACCTCAACACATTGGCCATAATCAAAGTATATATTTTCATCCCATCTTTCTTGAACTCTGGTTTAACTGACTCCAGGCATAAAAATTTTCGAGCGACGGAGTTTTCATGCATTGTATATCCGTGACATCTTCAGATATTTGATTGCAATGGAAGCTAAAGTCAATTTATTTACGTCGAATTGTTTAGTATATTAAGTTTGTTGGTCTCTAGAACGGAAGACAGGTTTGAAATATATCAAATTTTGATCGGAATCTAGATAAGTATTCCACAAGGAGCGAGTAGCATGTCGGCAACGACTGTTTGAAGTTTGTTCTGAGAATAAACAGGCTTTTTAAAACAATTAGTCCCTTTGACAAATTTCAATAATGCAATGAGAAAACGTAGTTTATCATTGCATTATCGAAATAAACAGGCTATTATCTACAAAGAACTGCCAGAAGCGACCATTGTCATCTTACCTACAAACACAAAGTTCACGTTGAACACGAAGCTACTATCTGGCATCCCTAGACCGCCTACTTGAGGATCCAAGTTACTAGTAAGCACCACAGTATTTGTTGAACGGGGTTTTCAGAGATCACTAAAATATTAATAGGACTCATTCTTGATTGCACAGAGGCCAACATTTATCTGGATGTAGGTAAAGATTATGAAAAAACGTTTTTTTTTACGTCATTTTTTTTCCTCCTCGATAGAACCTCCCAATCTAACATCAGGTAAACAACTGCTATTGACAATTCAGTCAATTTGTGCTACCTCCACTGACATCCGTACATGTACCCATGAAAAACACTTTTAGTCAACGGATATGAAACGAATTTGTAATACTTCACTAGGGTCTTAAAGTACACGTCCTAAATACACAAAATAAATCGATATATTAAGGATTTCCAAAGACAGTATTTCTAAGTAGATCGGACAACAGACATGTTCAGCTAAGGTTGGAAAAGGCAGATTTAAATATTACTTATTTTAGAAAAGTATCAGATTTCGTATCCGATTATCACATTCATGAAATCGACTATTTGGAGTCTTCAAATGCTGTAATGACGAATTTAGTAGTACAGTCAAGAGTATATAAAAACTGTTTAGATGCAAAAAGCTACAATGAGAAAAAAAACCATACCTCATGTTGCAAAGATTGAATTTTTAAATTCTGTTTGCTTAACAAATCTTCATTTGTTTTTTTACATTGTTCCAGTTCATATTCAGTCGCCCTGAAAATAAGCATATGTGGTAAAACTACTTTACTGATAACGTCACAACATTAACATATTTAACACTATAAATGCTAATTTGATCAGTCTCAATCAAATGTTTCGCAATGGAGGATGATGTCTGTTTGGTATGTTGAACTTTTAGGCTACAATGAAAAATATAACTCTTATTAAAAGTAGTCTAATAAAAGTCAAGAATCATAAAACTTACAGACGTTTATTTACAAAGGCTATAGACATTATACAAATATATGTATGTTGATGATGAATTCACAGCGACGAGTTCCAAATCTATGAACTAATCAATAAACAACATCTCCACTACCTATATATGATGTAAGTTATTTCCTGTTTCAATTATCCAACGACAAATATCTACGGAGAACGTCGCAGAAAACTGTACTGATTATTTGATAATGAGATATTCAAAGGACAAATATTCTACTAGTAAGCTTTATGTATATATATCAGTGTATTCCTGTAGAAATCAAATGCAATGACTAAATTACATCAGTTTGAAATATGGTAAGTTTTGTGAATAAAGTTTATGGGCCATCAAAAGTTATCTTGGTTTTCGCACAAAATACGTAAAAGCCTTTTCTTAACCTAATGCTGAATCCACCAAATAAAAATTCCTGTCCATCAAGTTATCGATTATTAAAAAAAAACAAGAGATTGAAAGCTCAATAAATAGGAAATTAATATCTAAATTTACTTTTCTGAAGAGTTGTATGTCTCCAAAATCTAAGATGAAGATATAAATTATGTTGTAAATCAAGCGCGTAATATACATAAATACTTCTTGATGATCTTAAATGACTGAAAAATCGGTGTGACAGACTGGAAAGAAGGGTATCTAATCAAGATACCAAAGAAAGGAGATCTGAGCAAATGTGAGAACTATAGATACATCACACTACTGTCAGAACCAGGAAATGTTTACAACAGTGCTGCTGAACTGGATAGAAGATTAAATAGATGCTCAACTTCGAGATCAACAGATCACATATCGTAAGGATCGGTCGTGCACAGACCAAATCGCCACACTACGAATGATTGTTGAAAAATCAATTGAGTGGGACTAGTCACTATACATCAACTTCCTTGATTATGAAAAAGAATTTGACAAAGTGGATAAGAAGACATTATGAAAACTTCTTCGACATAATGGAGTACCTGAAAAAAATCGTCAACATCATACGGAATTCATAAGATGGACTACTCTGTAAAGTCGTGCATGGTGGACAGCTGACAGACGTACTCCAATTGAAGACCGAAGTCAGACAAAGTTGTTTAATCTCACCATTTCGTTTTCTTCCGGCGCTTGACTGGATTATGAAGACCTCCGCATTTGACGGGAAGCACGAATACAATGGACAGCTTGGATGCAACTAGACCGTCTGAACTTCGAAGATGACCCAAACCTTCTATACCATGCACACGAACAAATGTAGACAAAGACAACCAGTGTAGCAGAAGCCCCAGAAACACAAGGCCTCAACGGACACAAAGAAAAAAGTAAGATCCTCAAATACAACACGGAGAACACCAACCCAGTTACAGTTGTTGGTCAGTCAGCTACAACGTAGGACCAGGCACATATATGCATCGGTCCAGGTTGCCATACCTCATTAACACAACAAGATGGACACCGGATTCATATAAGTGGTTAATTCAGAGGTGGTAGTATATAAAAGAAAGATTGCAATAAGGATATAGTACAGGAAGAAAGAATTAGTTCGTAGAAAGAAAGATATGAAGCGATTTTAATCTCTTAGTTTAAGAAAAGACAGAGGGTGTATACACCGACGCCATTGTGACCGATTCTGAGCCATGTCACCAAGAGTCTACAACCATTGGTTACGACAGTCACGCGTACCCCAACCAAGTAGTCTGCATCTACCAACATGGCTCAGACTAGAAGTTAGTGACTTTGTGAATTGATGCCACGTTTTGGTTTGGCCGCCCCTAACTCTCTTCCAACCATCTCTAACACCGGTTAGCATTGCACGTCATGGTAATCGGTGTTCGGGCATACGTAACACGTGGCCCAACCATCTCAGTCGATGATGATTAACAACCTCATCAACTGATTTACCATCATTACCTAATACTCTCCTAGCAGACGCCAGCAATATTTCTGAGGCATCTGTGGTCGAATACTAGTAGCTTACGAGTGTCTTCTACTCTTAATGGCCATGTTTCGCTGCCGTAAATTAAAACAGAATGGACTGCCGCGCAGTACACTCGTCCTTTTATTGATAGACGGATATCTCGCCTTCGCCATACGTGACGTAAGTTGGCAAAAGCCAGACGAGATTTTCGAATCCGTGCTGAGATTTCGTCCGATACGAGCCCATTAGGTCTGATCAGACTTCCAAGATAAGTAAAGTTGTCGACGCGTTCGACTACTTCATTCCCTATCCTTAGTTCAGGTGTTGACACAAGACAGTCCTGAAGCAACAACTTGCATTTAGAGGGAGGGAAGCGCATTCCAAACTTTCTGGCATTGTTGCTTAGTGTTACCAAAAGACTCTGCATTTTACCAGCGTCTTCACCAAACAGGACTATGTCATCTGCGTATTCCAAGTCGATAAGTGGACCTCTTAGAAGGAGACCAATGCCCTAGAATTCAGTCATCATGACTGACTGCGCTGCATTTGACATGTCCGCAACATGATGAAGTGGTATTTTCGTTGTAGAAAACTACATTCCTCATGTAAAGTAGCAGAAACTACAGAGAACGAAACACTCCTCTCCATCATGGATTACGATAGTGTAAATATGAATTTTTTGTTTCATTTTATTTGGCTGCCAGGTGAAATTGCGAACAGGAGTGTAGCTTATCTTCACTCGGCTACGGAAGCACAGCTGCAATTCAGTTCTAATGGGTCTTTTTAATGTGGCTTTTTTGCATCCAGTGAGGCGCAAACAGATGCGTGCCCGTATTAGGGCATGGTCGGAGTCCAAGCAGGAACTCCAGAATGAGCGACAATCTTGTACCGACCCTCCCCAACGATGACTGATGGCAATATGGTCTATTTGAGTCCATCGTCGGTTTGGTGTAGGGGGTTGCCATGTTAAACGATGTCTCTCTTTATGCTTAAAATTTGTGTTTGCTAAAAATAAACGATTGTCTGAGCATAGTTGCAACAGACGATCACCATTATCTGTTCGCTGTGCCGGTATACTAAAATACCCACCTAAATGCTTTTCTGTTTGGTTTAAACTACCTATCTGGGCAATAAAGTCACCTGCTACGAGTACTATGTCTGAACGTTTAGCTTTCTGAAGAAGTTCACATAGCTTTCTGTAAAATTCATCTTTCATTTCATCTGAGCTGCAGTCGCTGGGAGCGTAGGCAGAGACGACAAAAAGGCAACGACGTGTGTCCCTATCCTTCCGAGTTCTTACGGAGCCGTTTAGCCGAACAGCACATAGACGACTGTTAACGGGGATCCACTCTAGCAGTGCTTGTTCGGCCCTCATGTTTAGTGCTATGCCTACCCCTGCCAGTCCACGAGAGCTGGCCATCGGGTCACCAGACACACATAGGGTATATCTCGTTGGCTCTTCGTTTCGCCTAGGTGACGTCAAGTGAATGACCACACTGGGATCCTGTATGTGTGTTTCGGAGACACAGCATACATCAATGGTACGAGATTCTAGGGTTTTAGCCAAGGAAGCCTGCTGACCGATTTGACATAGGGTTCGTACGTTGAAGGCTCCAATGTGTAGTGTGGAGCGAGGTTTCAGTAGACCTGGGACAGTGTTTTGAGCACTAGAATCGTTGGCGATGGTGAAACTTGAGGGGGAAGCCGAAATAAGAAGTTTAGAGTTTGAAGTCGATGTAGGAGGAATAATAGGAATTGAAGAGGGAGGTTGATTATGAATACAGTGGTCTTGAGTGCTGTTAAAGGTATGAAGGCGGTTATCACTTCCCAGTTGCCCACACTGTGGAAGGGTTCTTCAGGAGGTACCTGAAAAGGAATAGAAGTGGTCTTAGTGACCTGGGAGCGTGACCGCAGTGCCCAAGGGACAACTACTTGAGGTCGGTCACACACGACCTTTTTATGGGCAATTTTTGTGTTAGCTCCGTACTTGTTGAGACCTTACCGCCGGAGACGGCATCCGTGAGATAAGGTGGGGTGTGCATTTTAAGGGTCGACCTTTTCTAACCCCACCCCTCCGTGTGGTAAGGCAGCATCGCTGTTATGCTGGTTGTCCGAGGGAAACAGCTTACTGCTGTCACACCTCTGTACAGTCAGCAGTACGACTTCGCCTTCGGACCTTGAGTTTGCTGCTTTTAGTCTTACCGTTCTTCAACCAACCTGACATGGTAGGACCTTGAGGAACGGTTGTTTCAGCCAGTATAGCTCGGTTGCTTCATCACGATAGGCAAGCCCGACCACCACGTCAAGGTAGCAACAACGGTCGGGTACAGTTGTTGGAGAAACACTGGAAGAGGTGGAAACGTTCACGTTCCTGGGCAGCATCACCGATGAACGAGGATCTGATGCAGACGTAAAGGCGAGGACTGGCAAAGTGAGAGCAGCTTTTCTACAGTTGAAGAACATATGGAAATCAAAACGGCTGTCTGCAAGTGGACATCAAACTGAGAATCTTCACTACGAACGTCAAGACATTTCTAATGCACATAGCTGAATCTTGGAGAACTACCCCGACAATCATAAAAAAGCAAGTACATATATACAATTGTCTACGCAAGATACTCAATATCTGTTAATCAGATATCATCGGCAACAGTCTACTGTGGGTGAGAACAAACCAACCAACCAAATTAAGAAAAGACGATGAAAGTGGATTAAAAAAACATTGAGGAAATCATCAAACTTCATTATAAGGCAAGCTTTAACGCAATAGATAAAAGCCAAAAACACATTGTGCCGAGAATTGGAAGTAGGCATCAAAAGGACGAATAGCAACTGAAAACAACTGCGAAGAATTTCAAAGGACAGAGTTCGATGGAAAATGCTGGTGCGCTGCCTATGCTCCTAAACGATGGGTAACAGGTGTAAGTATGTAAGAAAGTACTGGCACTCAGAAATAGTCATAAACATCTACTGGACCAATTATTGCTTCAATGGTGATGCTGATAATTCGAGTTCATTATTTCAGTTAGGAATTCGAAGTTATTAGATCTTGTTACTATGGTAAAGTCAGTTGATCAACCACAACATATAGTCTGGTACGTATGTACATCGATTGGAGTTGCCGTACCCCTTGGCACAGAAAGATCAAATCGTCAGGTCAAATCCCAAAATCGTAGAGGTAGTAACAATATCAGTGGTAATTAGAAAGATTGAGCGTTAACGACGCGACTTAAAAAGAAAATATAAACTAGTGGAACAAAAACACGACAATGTTTATGACGAATCTAGAAGTTCAGAACTTAGGGACAGACAACGAATGGAAGCACCTGCGTCATTGCAGACGATTTTGGACCATAACATTCAAAGTCTGCAAGCACTGGTTACAATAGTCACGCAGACCCAAACCAGGTAGTCTATATTTATTAACATTGCTAAGTTTAATTGTCAGTGACTTCATGGACTGATTCCATGTTTTGGTTTGCCCCCTATAGTTTTTTTCCAGCCTATTCCTGCACCAGGAAACATCACTCGTCGAGGTAGGTAGTGGTTTGGCATATGTGACAAATGTCGCAACCACCTCAATTGATCAAGATTTACTATCTCATCCATCGATTTGACATCCTTACCTATTACCCTATTCCTAATCCAGGCATTACTTACTCTGGTCCCAAAATACACAGGCTATGCTTCGTGGACACCTATGATCGAATACCAGTAACCCACTAATACCCTCTACTCTTAATGATCATACTTCGTATCCATAAAGAAGTACAGAGCGAGCTGCTGCATGGTAAACTCGCTGTTTGGTTGGCAGACGGATATCTCACCTACGGTAAAAGTGATACGAGTTATCGAAAGCCGATCGAGTCTTCTGAATTTTTGCCTGGATTTCTTGAGACACCAGACTATCAGTACTGATGAGAATCTCAAGATAAATGGAGCGGTTGATGAGTTCAACTATTTTATTTTCTAGCACTCGTTCAGACGAACATATTGCTGAATACAAACGTAAAACTTACGGATGTTGTAGTTTGCAGATTACAGATGAAAATCTTAAATAGATAACTTTTGAGCTTCCTTACAGTGAGAGTGGATGATCCATGATCCAGCTGAAGATTTTACGGATATCTAAAGTATGACTTTCTCAACTGACTACTGAAGACAAGTCCGATAATTTACTTAAAAACTTGACCAATACATGCACAGCGTTTAAATATTTGTTCACTGGTCCTAAACATCAATATCCCAAAGTTCAAGCAAAAAATTTCGTTAGATCTTTGAAAGTACCAGTCGATTCCATTTATACCAGAGCGTTAAAAGACTGAAAAGTGGGATACGCATATTCCTTCTGCACCATAAAACGCCAAACATTCTGGAACAAAAGAAATACTGGTGAAATTGCCTGAATGAAAGTCGCTATTTTCGAATAAAGAGCGCCCACAATTGGTTGAGAATATACAGCACGATGGAAATGATTTTCTAGTGCCCGAGATTTTTACTGAAGAACATCGCCTCATATTAAAAAAATTAGTAACTTATTTACACACGACCGATAAGAACGCAGGTACTCTGTTAAGACTCCTATTATTAGTTAATAACACATAAGGGATCTATAACGTATAATCTCACATATATTTGATGAAACCTCAGAAAAGTACAGTTAACTATGGGAATCCAGATTCCTGTTCAAGCAATGAAGGATTTGGTATTTTTAATGGTGAAAAAATGCTTTGCACACACAATTCAGTCATAAATTTCAATATAATACACTGATGTGTGTTTGGTCTTTTCTTGTCTTCAAGCCCCAATCCATCCGTAGATACTTCAGTACGACTCAACAGATCTGATAATTTCTGTACCGTTAAATACATTTAGCGCGATTACTCATTCCAGTAGACTGATGTAAATATACACTGAATGGTCACTGAGCATTGAAACATCACATGTTGATCTAGTGCATGATGCCGATTAAATCGTATCGGCCAAAATCTAATTTGGTCAATAGTTTTGGTGGCTTGACATTATGTACACTATATTTAGTTGTTTAGTCGTTAGATATAGTCGGCACGAATTCCTGAACCTAGGTCTCGTCCTACTTGACACTTACCAGCGTACCTGTAATTTTGAGGGAACTAGTGAAGAGATTAGGGGTTTTCCATATCGTTAAATACCTGGGATACTACTACTCTTTTTTAGACTCATATCAATATCGTAGATGGTTAGTTTTACCAATACTCATCAATAAAAAATATGCGTGCAAACAGTGAATTTTATAAACAGTTGGCTACTATTTTTTCCTGCTTAGAAAAGGCGTTCCTCATTTTGGAATGGTTGGTAGAAAAATTCGAGTACTTACCCTAAACGTCGATTGAAATAAATCATATTCCTCCGTAATTCTGATGAAAGTTCTAATATCTTCAGCTTTAATAGTCTATTGTCACTCATATCATCATCCAAATCCTTTGGTTGACAAGTAGTTAATAACAGATTGGAGCTATTTAGTTTTGAAAAAGATACTCCTTCATTGCTCATCACAGTAAAATTCCTGAAATAAAATCAACTTTTGTTATATAGAAATGATAAAAAGATTTTATGAGCTGGAAAAATGTTATTTAATTCTGTAAGTTAAATATAATAACAGTAACTTTGAATAAACTATTTACTTAAGAGAAATTTATGCGGGCTAAGTAACTTACGATATTAGTTAGTACATCCTAAACTTCTGTAGTGGTCAGTCCGTAATTGATGAGTAAGCCTGCGTCATTTAATCACTGAAGTGCAGACTATAAGCATATGGCAATACTAAAGTATGACGAAAAGCTTGGGTGGTCCTTGTACTACATGTCTCAGGAATAATCAAGTCAAAAGTTTCCGCAAACTTTTCTAATTCATAAAATTACGCAATATTCGGACTTTAAGACTTAAAAATATTTGTTGATACAATTAACATAAGTTTGTAAACATTTAATAGTGAGGAAGCATTTTATTATGGTTGGCTGTTGATGTAGTCCATGCAAAAAGTAAACGCTACGTGATTAGGGACATTGACTTGTCGAGACCAGCTAGTGAAGCAAAGACGATATGGATGGGAGTTAATACAATCATTTTTATCCTATTTTATGTAGTAGTTAGCGGTTGGATCCAGGAGGTGCATTTCATCTCCACTGCTATTCGTCAACTGGATATACTTCTGGTTAATCATGTTTACACAGATACGTGAACTTACATGACATTTCAAATGCTAAAATGCTACAAACAAGACTACTGGGCTAGTACAACTAATTCTTATCTAATATGTAGTGATCTACTACTAGCCACTAAGTAAAGTAGAAGCACTTTATAAATATAAATATTTTAAATAATCCTGCTAAGCTTTTCCCTACACAGAATTTCTTAAACACTTAACATCACTAGATTTTAAAAAAATCAAAGTAGGAATAAGTGGAAATGAGGCATATTATAATGAACCGAAACAAAAAATGCATAAAAGCGAAGACACTTGTTCATATAGTATTAACATAAGAAACTGACTAACCGACAGTATGCTGCAGTCTCACCAATTAAATAATACGAAAATAAATCAAAAATCACTTGGTAAGAATTTAAAAAAAAACATCCAGTACTGGTTATTTTAGTGTTAACACTGTATATGGTGAGAAAATTGCCACAAATTAATGAAGAAAAACAATAATAACAATTAAAAGTCCTAGGATGATCTTAGAACATATTAAACAGACAATATCTTGTCAAAACAATAAGAACCTACTGGCAAATGCTACACAAAAGTCTTCGGTAGTAAGGATAGGCTTATTAGCCCGTGCTAGTTCTTGAAGTGTCTTCTAGCGATGCAGTTTTTCCCTTAAAATGTTCGACAACGCAGCTGATACAATTTGCTTGGGTAGGGAGTTCTAATCGTCGGCCACAATATTAGAAACAAGGAACCCGAAACTGAGTTTGTTCTACTGCAGCTCCCGAACGCTTCTTGCTGTGGCCTCACAGATGATTATTCCCTGAAAGACAGAAAATATAGCATGCGTTTACACCTAAATCATAATTTGGGATACAAAACTGTATTGACATTAAATGTCAATACAATGTTACCTCGAACTCCATAATTAGATTAGGAGGAAAGGTTCAATCTCTTTAGTAGCTCGCTGCAGCGCTTTACAAAGACCTGTCAACAACTTAGTTTTCATACGTTGAACACGCTCACGTGTCTAGGCATCCTTCATTAGACATGAGCTAACTGCTTAAGTATCCATTTTGATCCAGTATTCTATATGAGTCTCATATAGACAAGATATGAAATCTGAAACGCATCTTGAGCGATACATTTTAAAGCTATGCGAAGAGACCGTAATACTCGGAAACCAACAGAGGATGCTGTATTGCACTGAGCAGTTATTTTAAAATCATAACTTACGACTACTTCTAGGTCTTTTTGTTTATGCTTGGAAGACAAAACAAGTGGATTGACTACAACAAGTAATTGTACGAACATGAAATGAAAATAATGTAATGAACGAATGAGAAGTTAGTAAATCCTGTGTACGAAAAGTTTAGTTGAGTAATCGCCTAATATCCTAGCGACCAATCAATTCATTCAATATCCAATATCTTTAATGCAAGTTTATATGAATTGGTTGATTGCTTTGGGATCTCTTCGTGTAGTATCAGTAACGCTCCAGGGATTTGGTAATGTCAAATGGATGGTAGCCTAGTCATTTAACTGCACTAGTTCTAGTAAATATGCTAGTTTTTTGTCGGTTTGTGTATCTTGTAATCCGTATGAGTGTAATGTGGAGTTTAATTGAGTGATAATTCGAGTGCAAAGGAAAGACGATTGTTTCCAGAACTAACTAAGTGAATATTGGGGTTGATAATTCGATGAAGGAGGCATTAGGAGAAAATTGAACTCCAAGAAGAAAAGCAAGAATGATGATGAATATAAACGAAATGGGAATAAGATAATCGCATATGTTAATGATGATGGTAGACAAGTTGCGTGACACGGACCATGTCCAGCTAGTCTAAACGGTAGATGGTGGTTGATGATTGAAAACTAGTTTGTCAAGTTTTCTTTTGAAACTACTTACTGACGGTGCTGTAGTAATCTCATATGGCCACTTCGTTTGTGACCACATGAAATGTGAACGTGCCATGGTCGCTAATCTCTAGTGGTGGTTTGATATGGATATCTTTGACTTAAAATTAATTAGGTATTCGCAAATGGTCTAATTTTGATGGTTCTCCGTCCTTACCATATCTCATGGCATTACTCACATGCTAAGTTACCCGAACGTTTGATGGCTTTTTCAAGCACCTCATGAAACCACTCTGTACGTGCTGTAACCTGATTATTGTAATTATTGCACGGAATGTTAAAGTCCCTGGTCGAACTCTAGACTAAGTAATTACTGTGGCACCTGGATTACATTATCTTTCAGAGTATTGGTAGCCATGGGTAACCGCAGGATCCCTTCAACAAATTGCATGATGCCGTTAACATTGAAGCAACATCAGCGTGCCTTTGTCATATCAGAAATGTCAAGCAATGAGTGCTCAATCCTTCGTTAGTGACGATGTAGGAGAGACATGATTCAGTTAATACTATGATCTACATATCCAAGTGAGGGTACTCGTTCCTGGTTTATGTTAATTTACCCCTTTAATTCCTCACATTATTGTGGAAACTTTTGATTATTTTTCTCCTTATCTATTGGTTTTTCAACTGGTTATGAGATTATGAAAAAAATGCTGTTTGGAATGCGTCGACAATTCTACGTAAACGGGGTCCTGAAGGATTTTCGCCTGTATATTGCTTCTCATTCGATGGACCGTGACCTTAATTTCCTAAATCATGGGTTCTTCATCGAGATAAACTTACATTGAGGTTTATCTTTTTGGCTTTTCTAGGTCGGCCGTCACAACATCATCTGCGGATGAAGAGGCCATTTTTCAAGGTTTAGCATGCCTGGAGAGCTTCATTTTAGTATTCTCGGTTTTGAGTATTACGGCTATCAAATTTAATGGTCGTTAGGCTTTACGGACGAGGAAGTCAAGAAGCACTAATTATCTAATTAGTATGAGGGTCAATGATACGTAATAGTCAACGCCACTATTGCATATAATCTCTGTAGGCTTCGTCAACAATATCACTCACCAGCTCAATCACCCCGCGAACCATTGTGAGATTTGATCCTTAAGATTTCATCAGCAATCTTCTAACAACATCTCTTACGACTCACGGCCCGTCATGTCTAACTTGTGAACGACTTTTGGCTACAATATAGAATCCACGATTTGTAGGGGTGCCAATCTGGCATCACACAATATCTGCCTCCACTCTTTCTGATCAAAATCAGTCCTATCTTCCAGCAAGCCACACTCTGATGTTGCTGATTTCCTTTTGAACTCCAACCAACCAGACCTATTGCTTAAAATCTGTGTGTCTAGGTTGATGTCACTAAGATATTCGTGTGGGTTTTAAGCTGTGTTGGATGGATCGAGTACGGTGATGAGTACGTCGCTTTCCACAGTTCGCTTCATGTATTGTTTCTGAACTGGAACCGTGGGCAGGTGTATCTTAAGTCGGTAGTATTATTTATGAACTGCAGTTTCAAACCAACGGGACTCAGATACTAGAAAAAATGCATCCCGATTCTGCCTTTCCTGTTCTAAATAGAGACAAACATACAATGCAGTAAACATGGTTATCTTTTCTCTTGAGTAAGTTGCATCACGGAATAAAGAATGTCTTCTCCTAATCTTTTTCTTAATGGTCGTTCTAGGACTGAGAATCTATGTTGTGGTGTGGTCCTCAGTGTTTAGTTGGAGACTAGGTATTGGCGATAGTGTCAAGTAGACCGAGCTGTACACAGCATATTAAAGTCGACTATCTAGTGTAGTTGTTGATTTACTCATAACGTTGTTATTAGATAAGATTTTATGGCTCGTCACGTATCACGAAATCGCCCCCCCACTAGTCATTCTTAAGGTTATTGTGTAAGTATTGACGACAATCCCTTCACTGTGTATGCTACTCAATAAACTAAAAAGTAGGTCGTGAGAAAATTGAGGAAGAACACATATAAGTTTAGAATAGAGGAGGTAGTTGAAACAAGTATATGTTATAAAAGGATGGGAAATGAAAGGCACCTGAAATTCCAACGGTACTTTTGACCGTCCCAGCTCGCGACTTAGCTTGGACCCAGTAACGTAATTACAACCTCAAGGTGAATGAATACTCGCACGCCTCATCCAAAGTTCAGTCATTTGTGATGAAAATTAAGAGTATGGCTGTTTCACTATTTTAAGTTAAAAATTTATGCTGAGACATGTGAACTGTCTGAAGCAATTATTAGGGTGAAATTAAGATATATATGATTTTCGAAAACCGACTAAATCTGTTTATGTTATATGGATTTCAACTAATTAGATCAAAATGATGCACGATTTATAATCAGTTGGATTTGTAAATTCTTGAGTGTATGCTGCGAAAATCGGATATATCGAATCACAAAATATTCATAACAATAAATGTTAAAGCAAACGCTGAATGACTGAGTGTACTGAGAGAAAAATACAAAGCACAATATCAGATGCAGCATAAAAATAAAATGTTCACAGGCAAAACTAAGGGCAAACGAAATCAAGGCTCGGGGTTGAACAAATATATAGTACAACTAGTAAAAAGATGGATATAGACAATACAGGTGAACAGAGATTTAATTACATTGAGCGTCTTTTGCAAAACTTCCGACTAAAGAAAGACCTTTTTGAACTATCAATCAATGTGCAACATATGACGAAAAATGTAGGCGTAAAAAGCAACGAAACAACGAGTAGAAACAAAGGATATCATGGTCTATGGAATAACGCTTAAACTTACGGTTTGCATCCTGATACATATAACTGACAGAAATATATAGAGAACTACTAATTATTCAACTATATGTTCAAACAATCAAATATTATATATTCAACGATCACCCGCATCGGCAGAGAACGTTAGCTGGTATAATAGTTGGCGAAACAGGCGGACGAACATATGTAGTGGCATTGAACAATAGCCACACAATCCACAAAGCTGTGAACACGAGACTACTCAGAAAATAGATATTCAATATTTAACGCGGAGAAATACCTAACAATGGAGAAGGCGCGGACAATGAATTGAATGGACTGGAGTTGATCGAGTGGCATGGCTCGGCCATGCAGGCGTGGTCCCTGCTGAATGTTATCTTATATCTCCTATTCATATTAAATATATTGTTCTTTCTCTAGCCTAAGCTTGTTCTTCATCATGTATTGGTAGTTGTTACGATACGGTGAGTTGGTGTAGTCGATGGTGTGACTTCCACGTAAGATCTTATAGATTAGGCAGTTATATCATGACAAATCTACAATTTCAGGATTAGGTCTATTATTAGAGCAGTACTAATATCATAGTAGACCATAATTCTACACATACTCAGCATGGGCTCATGACGTACAGACAAATCACTCTAAAAGTTCAAGTCGCCCAAACGCGTTCAAGGTTTCCACTGTGCCTTTCCTGAGATGAGGAGACACTCATATTCTAATTGGGAGCTCACAGAAAATGAAAGAGTGAACACGGACACTCTTGTTTACCACCAGTCTTCACTTAGTACGCATCTGTGAGCTGACCCTCAACACACGACTTCGCAACGCAGTTTTTTCGTAGTCGTTCCGTACAACAGTGACTATCTTCTCAGGTACTCCATCGTCTCGATGAAGCAAAGTCTCCTTAGTATATCGAACACATTCTGACGACCGAAGTTGATTTATGGGTCTGAGTTCATTCGTCCAACAATAAATGCAATGTCAAAGGACCTATTTTACTTAGTACTTTGCCGGTGTATCCTTTTTCCAACCTGTAGTACCGGAGGTGGTTTTAGGAGACCAAGAATAACCTTTCTTGAACTTAAATCATAAGCATTGGTGGCGCGTGATGATAAAGATAAACGAGAATAGCCGACTGTGAGGATAGAATTATTAGGAGGTGAAGGATGGATTTGATTGTGATCAAGATTATCCCGGATGCTACTAGAGGTACGAAGGTGGATGCCATTCCCAGGACACGCACACTATGTAAAGACGCTTCTATTTGGAGGATCTGAAAGATAAACCGTAGTCATGAAGGTCTCAGTGACCTGATGTTGTCCACACAACCCAACGGACAACTGCTTAAGGCCAGTGGATAATGGCTTATCTACGGGAAGTTCCAATGTGTTAACTCCACACTTCCAAAATCTTTACGGCCGAAGGTCTGTGGAGTAAGTCAAGATTTGACATTTTTTGCGTCGACGTTTTGTAAGCCCTTCCTTCATTGTGAGAACGCATCATCGGTGCTTGTGCTGTTGTCCGAGGGGAAGACCATACATTAACCACAAACCTCCGCAATTGGCAGTACTTCCCACTCGGACAGTACCTTGCTTCTCTAAGTTTTACCGTTATTCGACCGACCTAACCGGTATGGTAGAACTTAAAGGAACATGCGTCCCAGTCAACATAGGACGTGAAAGGGAAATCCGACCACCACTTCAATGCAGCATCTAAAGTTTGGACATGAATAACAATAAATGTCTACACTAATGCTGCGAAACACCATTTACGAAATCAGGCAGGTTTTTGAACTGCTACTCTGGCGTGGTTTAACGACTAAGTGAAAAATATTAAAATGAACACCTCGTTATTGAAAAGGATGCCAATTCGGTGAATTTTTTATTGACAGGGATGGTTTGTAGCACTTATTTACCATGCCAAATAGTGATCTACATCGACAGAGAATGTTTGCTGGTATGAACTGGGAAAACAGGTGGATAAACATGCTTGGCATGAGTCCATGACGTACTTAACTTTTATTGATTTGGTTTGTTGGTAGACGCACACTACCTAAAAAGGTCGAGATAACCATGACTGGTGGTTAGAGCCTATAGGTGACATAGCTAAGAACCAGCCACAATAATCCAGATGCATCTAACCCCTACCATATTTCACCGCAACAACTTTGTTGTTACCAAACCTGTGACATTACACACCCATTCCCGGACCGAAGTTGGTCATGACCGATTCTATTGTTATTTTAACACTATAGTTCAGACGATCTGACAATCTACAGCAATTTCCTGCACTAGAAACTATGAACCAGGTTACGCGAATTCATCTGGTATCGAACAACTAGGAAATTATCGGGCGAGTAGAGTACAGTAGAAAGCAACAACACGATCGACATATTATTGCATGGTTATAATAAGCAATTAGCCTGACTGAACGAACATACAGTGGGATATCCCAGATGTTAGTTAACACTGACACAAAAGTAAGGGATTATAGAATGTAGTAAGACAGAAAAATCAAAAGTTTTCCTGATTAAGTACCTTCAAAACATTTTACGCATACAATCGACTTCTTAAGTATGATAGAACCTAACACGACCACCTATAGAATTTATTAGTACTGGAAGACACCGATATTTTGTGATAATGATAATCATGATAGAGATTGAAAATGAGTTTAGGTAGTGGTCAAATACACCACCAATAGTTTAATGTGTAAGGTGGAGTTGGGTCTGAACCTATCGACCGTTTACACTAGTAAGTCATTGACTCAAGATACAAATGTTACATCATAACGGTTGAAATTACAAAGCAGACAGGCAAACTTTCAAGTTAGAAATAATTGGCTTTCTATAATCTTATCAAGGATATTCAATAGTACGTACAGCAAAGTACATTTACAGACATGCAAAATATCTTCCAAAAGTTTGCAAGAACAACCGATGCCAAAAATTAAATCACAATGGAATAAGACTCTAAAATAGAGAAAACAGAAGGGAAAATTAAGACAATACAACTAATGTAAACAATAGAAGCAATTATATCTGACCAATTTACTTTCAATATAGTGAAAAATGAAAATTTTCACAAGATATTTTATATATGGAATTGTTACCTGTTGCATCAATGTGAGACCTATTTTATTTAACATCACAGTTCAGTGAGTCGAACAACTTAACCAATTAACTGGAAGATGTAGTAACAGTGCAACCAAGGGGGGTATTCATTTAGGAATGGCGACAAGGTGTTCGGAATAAAATGTTAGCTCGAGTTACTATATATAGCTTATTGCTTAACAGAAACAAATTGTTTACTTTGTAAATTTTAATGGACTGGAAGTAATTTCTTATTTACATTATTCGATCAGACACGCAATACTCGTCGAAAGTTTTGAGCGTTTCACTTAACGACTATAATTCCTGTAATTATTATATTAATCAAATTGTTACTTTTACGTTTAGAACAGATCAAGTTTAAAGCCAAGTTGTCTTTGTTCTGACTATAGCTTTCACATAGACTCTGGATCGTTAGTTTCGCGTTTACAGTACCGGTAGAGTACTTGTAGGACTAATTAAATCCTACAAAGCTCCGACCATTATCTCATTAGAAATTCATACATTGAGTGCTGTTAAATGTCGACGGAGAAGAATCATAAGGCTGATCAGATTCCTGAACTGTCTCACCACTATCTAAAAACTCATAGTGATGACCAGTTTGAAGGAGATGGCTACTGAATGGCTTCCTCGTTAGAGTTAGAATTAGCTAAAGTACGCTTAGCTCAGACAGAAAAGAAATTGAACTGGATAGGTTACGTCAAAGAGGAAGAGAACATTATAGTCAAGTTATGGCTGACAAGGTGATGCCGTACGAGTCTACAATTGCCTCACGTGGAGTTAATCTCCCTACTGGAAAAGACAATGATATCTAAAACTTCAGACCTACCAAAGAAAGATCATAAAGTTTGATGGTAATCCCATGGACTATTTTAGTTTCATACAGAATTTCGAAGACTGCTTCAGTGAAAACGTTGGACGCCAATCTAGGTTAAACCATTTGATTCAGTATGGTGATGATGAAGCCAAGGCTACTATTGTTCACTGTGTCTTGTTTGAACCAAAAGGCTGTCCCAAGACGTTAGAGTCTCTCAAAGAATCATTCGGTCAGAAGCACATCGTAGCCCGTTAATTTATTGATAAGATGCTGAACATCCCTGCAATTAAATAGACTGTTCCATATAATTTAAGAAGACTGTCTCGTGAGATGCAGATTTGTGGACACTCACATAGATGAACTATGTATTCCACAAAGACTATCAAGAATGTTTTTGAAACTCTCACTACACTTACAAAGAAAATGGGCTAAAATAGCCTGTCAAATTTTTAAGATGGATAGAGAACCTTTACTTAAGGACCTTTGTGAGTTTGTGAAAGAGCGGTCGGATACTGCTAATACCAGATACGGATTACTTGTCCATGGAGATCACTCACCAAAGGCAGTGAGGCTGTTTCTACTAAGAGAAACCTTGACTCAAAGTATAAGGCGAGTGTAGTTCCCTAGTACGAGTAAGTCTGATGTCCCCTATATGTAAGACCAAGCACTCTTGGGTTGTCATCTTTATTATGTACAGAAAACCACCGCTTAGATCAATATGGAAGGTTTGGAGATAATAATACAAATGAGGGGATGAAGTTTGTAACAAAAAAGCTGTGCAATGCCCCCAAATGCCCTAGTACGGCCGACAGTGGGGAGTCCGCTCTCCCTCTCGGAATGCTCTCACATGGCTACGCGTATACAGCCTCTGCCGAGGAAGCCATATGCATACAATCATTCCCAAGGAAGTCTTACTCACTGTCTTCTCGCACCACGAGTGTTGTTTACGAAATTGAGAGGATTAAAAGCGAATGTCCGGCGGTTCACAACCGGGTTGGTGCACATGGAGAGTCCACCTAGGGGAGTTGGAAAATAACCCTGATTCCAACCCAATGGTGCATATGGGCTCCAGTATCCTGAAGAAACAAATGGTGTATGAACCAATCTTTGGTCACCAGCTACCATGGGACTGCATCTCCTTACGATGCCCCACTGCCTTGTGGATTAGACCTTTAGGTCGAAGGCTCCGGGTGTGACTCCCTAAGAAAACCACCTGCTCCAGTTTTGGCACCCGGGCAGTATCACATCCCCCACATATATCAAATGAGATTTGTGTGGTACATATGTATTTGCTGCCTCCGTGTACCAATATCTATGCGTTAAAATCAATAAATAATTAAAGCTGAGCAATGTGTCTGTAGGCCAGTCATGATTAAATCACTTAACACCAGTTGGAAGTCCACCAGTTATACCAGTACGTCACAACTTCACAAACTTATGCACTACGCGTGATCTTCATACATAGTGTAAAAAGTGCTGAAGCGGTTTAAATTAACCAGAAAATGCCACGTTTCCAAAACTTCCTTGTTTTGCCGCCAAATTTCATCACGTCAAGTCTTCTAATTTCGTCTCAGCTGTAGACGCTACCCTAGTTAGACTGTTACTTTTATAATGTATTTTGCTACAATTTCAAGGGTTTTGCTGATGCAGTGGCTGTTCACTGAGTCTAGTCTTCCCTGGTCATTCTAGGAAATCTCCCGGACAGAATTCACCATTACCTTGAGTTAAAAGACGACTTGTTGGTATTGGCGACTACAGTGTCCAAGATAATAGTACTAATTAACTGGCGAAATATTAGCAAGTTTAAACTTGTGCTGAGTCAGTAACCTAAGCAACATCAAGACAAATCATTGTCAGTATTAATCTAAAAAACATCTCCATATAAAAAACTAGTGGAAGTTAACCATTAAATTGTCATGAAATTGAGATATCTTATATTTTACGGGTAAAATAGAGAAAAACCTGAATCACTGGATTGCAGGTTTATGTATTTGTTTGCCGGCCGCTAAAAATTACGATAAAGCGTGCCTTTAACTAAAGTAACTAGTTGAAACATGTCAATAAGCAAATATACATGAGTTTCATGACTCGATGCGATAAAATCAGTGTTTTTAGTGGGGTCGGTTTGAAGTGGTAAAAGTTAGCTAAAATATGTTCAACATACAGTGATGCATATTTGCAGAAATTATGAAGGGAATTAACGGACCACAATATGCGATTAGCACGAGAAGTAGAAAATTATTAATATAATATGAAACTGTTCTCATGCTAGTAAATCAGGTTGACAAGTTATGAGAAAAACTTATATCAATAATATTAGAGGCCATCCAGTTATGAACTTCTGATGTCTTTATATTTCTATGAACTAAGGTTACTATTGATTATTTATTAGTACGCTTCTAATGTATGGCCAAAACATTCACTGGAGTGATGAGAAACAACAAGCAAGTTGAACATAAAAATACTGGCTACCGAAATGAACGACTTGATAATTAGTCTGTAGTAAAATAAGACATGTCGAATTACATATCTTCAAAAAACACTTGTGCACTCTTTGAGAAACGCTAAACGCTTCAAAATGATGCGAACGTGCACTTGGTTAATATTAATGCTCATCGAAATTTTGTTTAATATTAGCTAGTAATTATCATATTATTAAATCAACTTTCTACAGAGACGTAATAAGCTCGAAAATAGTTCGCAACATCAATTGACTTCATCACTATAGTTCATTTAAAATCTGGACATAAAGAACAGTTTCTGATCTGGTTTGGAGATTCACTGAGTAACAGTTTCTTACTTTAGTTAATTAGCGAGACGGAGTAATCACCTCCGAGTGTAAGCGGTGTACACCTGGCTTTACTCTTAACTCAGTTGACTCCACAGATTGCTGATGTTTGGATGAAATAAGTAAAGGAAAATGTGAAGTTTAGTTGTGTTTCAAACGAACTACCTAATATTATTACAAAACAATTATTTTGTGGTATTATTATAGTTAGTGATCAGTTACTTATAGTTATGTTTATGAGTTGCAGACGTTTAGATATAAATCGGTAAAGGTTATTCGTGACATCTTTTGAGTGGCTGAATCATTTATTAGCATTTCCACAAACAACTTACCGATATTAAATAGTATGAGACCAGGCGCTAACACTTATACATTCGACACAATGGTGCCTTGTATATCATATTAAGATCAATTTTTGGACCAATTAAATCACGAATATTTTTATAACCATATCGAATCATAGTTGGACTAAGTAACAAAAACAGAGTGGTAAAAAACACAATACAGAACCACATGAAAAGGTTTGTGAGGGTAGAATGTGATATATTTTGTAACAAAACAAAATTAACGATAATGGAAGACTAACATGAACGTAGTAAAGACGATATAAAATAAATTATTCAGTTAATTGGAGACAGTCAGTTGAATGTCAAGTAATAGTTTATTTTTGAGTTGTACTCATCAGCACAATATATACTCACATTTTCGACATAATCGGTGGGTTATTTTAAGTGCGATTCTCGCTCACAAATTACCTTGGTACGGTCGAAAGTGAAGTGAGTCCACCTTTCATATGTAAACTGTCTTATACAGTTATTCATTTATATTATTTTATGTGGAAGTAATACTTATTACCCTCATAAAAACTAGGCGTGTCAACAAGAGTGGGATGAAAAGGTGTAAATGAGCAAACTTGGAAATGCATTTCCTGATATTGCTTTACCGTAGTATTATGAACTAGATCCTCCAGACTAATCGTTCGACATATTATCAAAGAAAATTACCTACTTTACTCTAGGTATTCAGCAGTATATCATAGGCATGGCATCAACTATAAAAATACAAATGAAGAAAACGAATCATTCACCTTACAGACTGGAGCTCATCAACTTGAGTTACTTTGTTCACAGCGAATTCTATTTTATACCACTTCACATTTGTGTGCCATTTTAATAATAAGTATATTTTTGTTTTTATGTGATTTATAATCTTTTTTTTATTTACACTTTCAATGTTTATGTAACTCAACTACCTTGTATCATGGTTGAAATTTTATTCAGTTTTTTTGAGAAATTCGAACTTACTCAAATTGTTGATTTTTGAAAGTCGTATCAGAATTCGACACATTGTTACTTGAATTTAAGGTACAGGTGCCGTTTCAGCTTAATACTCGTACCTAGACACCTAGGTGCACACCGAACGACATGTTTAAGAAATCTTGTTATTGTTATGAGCTGTATCTCAGAGACACGTATACTAAATTGCATCTGGCCATCGAGAAACCACGTTTCGAATGTGGTTGAAAGGGATCTGATTTTACTGCAGTCGTCGCACTAGAAAAACAACGTTAGGATCTGAGGCCTAGTGGCTGAAATTCAGGTCACCTATTAAGATCACAGCATATTTCAGGCAAGTAAGACAAGTATCCCGATTAAATATTAAGCGTAACTGGATTTAGAACTAACCATTAATTTTCTGGAGGACAAAGGTGGTTATATTACAAGAAGTCATGTTTTAAGCCAATAAAATAGTAGGAAAGGGCCGGTCAGTCACAGAACTCCTCTTTCATTTTACCATCAACAAGATATGAAGTACAAATATGTGATGTGAATTTTTTCGATACTTAGGGAAGAACATTTTGTCGATAGGATAGATTACTTAAACAACAGTCAGGTGGTTGTCGGTGTTCGAAAGTAACGAATGTACTTTTCTTCTCCATAAAAGCGTTAAGAACTTCAATGAGACTGATAGACACCGCTACAAATAGCTGAAACGTCGATTCATATTTGGATAGCTGTGAAAATGCTTTTAAAGATTTGTCAAATACGATCCATTTTGCACGTAGAAAGCTAGCTGCTTATAGCGATCTAACTCACCCTTACAGAAGATTTTACGTTACTATGGTGATGAGTGGTTGAGTGTATGACTGTCTTATCAGAATAATCTTTATTTGTGAATTTTAACCCTTTAGAGAGAACGTTGTTCATTTCGTCTGGACAAAATGGTTATATTAGTTACCCTCACAATAAGTGCAAGTGTGTTGTATTATTCCCTAAATTTTGTATAGACAAAGGTAACACGTCTTCACTAACAGGGTAAATAAAATTACTATTACGTCATGTCCTACGATACAGCAGTGAAATAAAAAATGATCTGGAAATAGGTGTTATCAAAAGGAGCAAATTCAAAACTAGCTCACCGTTCCAGAGACAATCCCCAAGCTATAACAGACAATCCTTCAGGTAACCCCATTGGTCTAAGCATTTCCGGACGAAATAGTCCAGAATTACCTATTTCTACCCACTTCTTGAGACCTGAAATTTAAATTCGGAGAAACAGTAGAATGTAAATATCGGTATATGAGACGTTAGACCATAAGTATTATGATGGTTTGTAGTACTAAGTAGATTATTGTAAAGTGGGGTGGAGTTCTCAACTGTGACTTACTAGTTGAATACTAAATCTCCAGATTAGTGGAAAAAAGCCCCAAAAATCTACCATAAACGAACTAGAAAATGTAGTTTGTCACAACAATGGATAGTGTTTTTTTCAAGTTGAGTCATGGATCGAAACTATACTTTATTCACAATAGCTGATACAGTAGCAATGTTGGGTGCCGGTTGGACGTAAATATGAAACAAGGCTTTGGACTTGCTAGTAGTCATTAAAACATGTTCACAGTCCTGAAAAATTCGTGTTATATTTAGGTTGCAACCACTTTCTAAAAAACACTAATGATTAGGAGACCGTTAAAACAAGAATGCTACGGGTTTTCCTGTAGCCCATCCCACAGACACTGAACACTTAATCCGCAATGTACCAAAAAAGCCACACTAGACCAATGAATAGGAAACCTGGGTTAATGTAAAAAGGAACAAATAAATAAGCAAATTATAAGAATGACGCACAAAAGCATTCTTGATTATTTACTCACCAGGATGATAACTAAAAATTTCCATACTCGGTTCAGTATATGGATTGTATGCTGGTTTAAATCTCAGTTGCGTAAGTCCTAACTTTGAAAAGAAAGTTCGAATTACAGTTTTCAAATGGCCTAAGCTAAGACCAAAGTCAGCGACTAGACCTTCAACTTGATGAAATTCTGCCAAATGAGTAGCGTCCAGATTTTCATTTCGAAATACACGATCAATACTGTAATATTTAGCTGGAGTAAATGGATTCTACAAACATAACACATAGAGACAATACGATAGTAAAATAAACCATATATATATCATGTTAGTTTCTCGTTATGGTTCGTTGTAAGGTTAAAAGCTCATTAACTGGGGAACAAGAATTCAACCAGGTAGTCATACCAAACTAATGGTTGGAAGTTTAACAAGTGAACAATCATATTGTCAAGGTAACAGTTTCCATGTTACATGAAGAATCAATTTCTCTAATAAAGAGTTGGTCAGTATTTTAAGACTTAGCGAGAATTGGAAAATACACTGGTTTCAATTGTACTCAATATACACGTACTGTAAAATTGGACCAAATTTCTATAATAACCCTCTAAAGAGTAACAATATATCAGTGTCTCGAACACTGTGGTTAAAATGAGTAGTAGTCATGATCAGACAACTATCTATGCAAGATTACTGTAGACAACAAAAACGTGTTTGTTACTGAAAATGGATTTTAAAATGATCATTTATGAGAACTTGAATATTTTTTTCAGAAATGGAACCGTAATTTACTAATCACAAAGGCTAAAAAGGCACACTTGACTGTAAGGCAACACCGCACTCAGTAAAGAAGAATTTCATTGGTAGATATTGCTCCTAATAATTAACACCATACTTTACAAGTGAACTGCAGACTGATCGCAAAGTGAACTCATAAATGAACAGTAAATTGCAAAAATTTACATTCTAATAAGAGAAGTAAGAAATACAAGTACTTCAGTATATTATGAAACTTTAAAATAAAATACGCTAAGACAGATTGAGGAATATGGATCTTCAGCTTTACATGGTATAACAGTTTTAAAGAAGGAAATGATCAACTTGATGAGATTAGCTTTATTTATTTATTTATTTGAACACATGAATATTGGTACAAGAGAGCACCAATATATATGCGCCACACAAAACAATGAGAATTCGAAGAGAAGTAGAGAAAAAAACTAAGGAGCGCAAAAGAAAAAGAGGACAATGACGAAGAGATTGGAGTAAGGTAGTGTGGTAGTAACGACGGAACGAAAAGGTACAATCAGAAGAAATCTTTCAGGTAAAGGAGACACAACCACTTTTTATGAAGAAAGTAAAAGAAGGTTACAGCAGGATCGCCACTGGCTTCTATTCTGAGCCATATCTGATAACGTCTCTAGCCACTGTGTCGCACCATCTCTAGGACCCCAACCAGGGAGTCGTGAAGGACCAACAGAAGCCAGTCCTTTGCAACTTTCTTTCATACCACGACACCATGTCATGCACTGACCACCTCTCCGCTTCTTCCAACCAGTCCCAGAGTCGGCAAATAATGCACGACGTGGAATTCTCTGGGACGACATTCATAGAACATGTCCAAGCCACCGAAGTCGGTGTTTCAAGATGGTGACACCAATTGAATTATCATCTCTGTGCCCGAACACACGATGCCGAACCTCTGCATTACTGACATGGTGTTGCCACTGAATGTCAGCAATCCTTCGGAGACAGCGATGATCGAACACAGAGAGTCGTCTAACGTCCTCAACTCGGAGAGGCCAGGTTTCACAAGCATAGAGCAAAACTGCTCTCACCGACGCGTTGTAGATCCGGCCTTTTACAGCCAGACTAACATCACGAAGGCGCCAAAGCTGGCCCAGATTGGCATAAGCCGCTCTGGCTTTCACTATTCGTGCATTGATCTCATCACTCACACCCCCACCAGCACTTATGCAGCTACCCAGATACACGAACTTCTCGACTACGTCTATCTGCTCACCATCCTGGGTGAGTACAGGATTGGAATCCTGCCAGTCTTGTAGAAGTACTTTGCACTTCGAAGGTGCAAAGCACATACCATACCTACGCACACTGATTGCCAACTAATTAAGTGCGGATTGCATGCCTTGGGCATTATCGCACAGTAAGACAATATCGTCCGCGTACTCAAGGTCGAGAAGTCTTTCTCCAGGCAACAGATCCACACCACCATTACTTACATTCATCAGAGCTGTTTCCAGAATGTCATCAATGGCAAAGTTGAAGAGGAATGGTGAGATTGGGCAACCCTGCCTAACCCCACTGCTCGAATGGAACAATGGAGAGAGGTGGTTGTATGTCCTCACTCTGCCTGAGGTGTTTTTATATAGGGCTTTCAGGATGTTAATAAACTTCTCAGGCACACCCTTCTTCAATAGACAATCCCAGAGAACAGTCCTATCCAACGAATCGAAGGCAGCTCTGATGTCAAGAAACACTACGATTGTTGGCCTTTGAAAAGTATGGCGGTGTTCTAACATTTGGCGGAGGGTGAAGATATGATCAATACATCCTCGACCAGAACGAAACCCAGCCTGCTCCTCGCGAGTCAATCTTTCTCGGGTTTTGAACAACCTACGAAGAATGACGGAAGCCAATAGCTTGGACGCAATCGGAAGTAAACTTATCCCTCGATAGTTTTTACAGGAACGACGTGAACCCTTTTTAAAGATAGGGACAACTATCGACTCATTCCATGACGTCGGTACACTCTCTAGTTCCCAAACCTTTGTAAACAATGTTGTCAATTCCTTAGTCAAAAAGTCACCACCATCTTTAAAAAGAGCCGGAGGTAAGTCATCTGGGCCAGGTGATTTGTAACGCTTCAAGAGTTGGAGTTCCTTGTGGACTTCCTGCTCGTTTGGTGGATCAGTCGTCACCGGCCATGGAGGGCAGGACAGTCTGACCGATGTTGCCGGAGCAGCAGGTCAGTTGAACTGCCCTTCGAAAAATTCTGCCCATCGTCCAAAACGTCGATGGATGTTAGTGGACAGCATCTTGTCATCCTCGCAGATTGTTTCACTCACACCAGACTTCTTGCTGCCAGTGGCTCGGATGAGCTGGAAGACATTCCGGTAGTTACCAGATGCAGCTGCTGCTTCCAGCTCATTAGCACGCATCGACCACCAGGCTTCTCGGTCCTTACGCAAGCTTTGCCCAATTTCCTTACGTAACATCCTTCGTTTGTGGTCAAACTCACAGTCATCCGGAGTAGACCGACGGGCTTCAATGAGTTGTAAGGAACCTGGAGAAACCCAGTGCTTAAAAGCGGGACGTTTCGCAAACCCACAACTGACTGTTCCCGCCATTTTCATGGCGTCATGCAATTGCAACCAATGCTCATCTATACTTTTCGGTGGAGTGGCAGCTAGCCTAGAGTCTAGCTCGGTTCGATACTTATTTGCAACAGAAGTTGCAACCAGCTTGCTAACATCAATCCGTTGATGGCGTTCACTTCGTTGTCCACTGAAAAGTAAGGCAAGATTGGCGCAGACCAAGGCATGGTCAGAGTCCAGATAGGTACTCCAAAAGGAGAGGCAGTCTTGTACACAACCACTCCAGCGGTAGCTGATCGCGATGTGATCAATCTGAGTCCAGGCTTGAGATGCAGAGGGAGGACGCCAGGTGGCACATCGGCGATGACTGTGCCGAAAGTTAGTGCTAGCCAGAAACAGGTTGTGGTCTGTGCAAAGTTGCAGTAGACGGTCCCCGTTATCTGACCTGCGACCAACGAGTCCCCATCGGCCACCTAAACGACTCTCTTCTGTGCCTAGACGCCCAACCTGAGCACTCAAGTCTCCGGCTAGTACTACAATATCTGTCGAACGCACTTTCTGGAGAAGAACTGATAACTGGTGGTAAAACTCATCCTTGATTGCATCCGGGCTGCAATCTGTCGGGGCATAGGCGGAGATGACGAAAAGACATCGTTTCTCACGCCGATTTCTTCTCACTTTGATGGAACTTTCTAATCTAACAGCACATAACCGACTGTTAATGGGGATCCAATCGATTAGTGCTGCCTCAGCTCTAGCGCTTAGTGCGACACCAACGCCAGCAAGACCAGACGAAGATGCCACAGGGTCCCCGGATAAGCGCACGTAAAACAAGCTTTTCGAAGCAACAGATGAAGATCGAATTTTTAGTACTTTGCCAGAGTCTTGAATACGGGTCTCGGATAGACAACAAACATCAATATTAAGACTTTCCAAAGACATAGCCAGCACTATCTGTCGTCCGACCTGCATAAGTGTGCGATTGTTGAAGGCAGCCAGTTTGAATGGTGCACGTGGTTTCAGAAAATCTGCTTCAGTCCTCGTATTCGGTGGTAACATACAATTTTCAACCGGATAGTGACTCGAGAACGTTTAGATACAGTCGAATTTCCACCAAAGACGAGCCGCTGTATAAGTATAAAAGAGGGTGAATAATGTGGAAAGTAATAATAATAATAATAATAATAATAATAATAATAATAATAATAATAATAATAATAATAATAATAATAATAGTAATAATAATAATAGTATTAATAATGACAATAATTGTAATGATAATAATTTGAATCAATTGGTTGTTTTTCGAAGCGAGAAAAGTAATTTTCATAGACATAAAGAGTTCATCAATTTGTGTGTGGGCTGTGATACTGCCCGGGTGCCCGAACCGAAGCTATTATACATTCACTATGAACGGACAGAAGACAGTGATTCAAGTGTACGTATATAATTCATTTTTCGTTTTAGGAGTACAAGTTCTCGAAACATCTAGATTATCGTAAAAGGGTTGTAAAGACAGTTGAATTTCATTGAAATCATGAACTGATCTTAGTTAGACTACCATTGGAAGGTTGTTTCGTCTTAGTATGGAACGCACGCAAGAACCGAATCCAAAAACTTTGGTCTCACGCTCAAGCGCTTATCCACTATACTACTGAGTCGGCATCCAACGACGTTAATGTCTAACTTCAATCAATCCACAATATCGTGTGACCATCTTCTATTGTCTTCGGTCGGCAACTCCCTCACACCCAACACGGTTTGGCTACACTGGGCACGGCTTTTCACCAGGACTCTGAAATGTTTTTTTCAAAGCTAGTCACCAGTAACCACATGATAATTTTCAGTATGGGGTAGACAAGACTTTTGAAATCCATTGAACTTGCGAACCAACCGAAGGTCCTAGGTCACTTTCCCGTATGTGTGACCGTGGATGCACGCTCCTGAGGCGTCTCATACTAGGGTTGAACGGACATCGTAATTCCAGTTTTCCAATGGTGGTCTAACTTAGATCTGTTCATCATTCCAATACGATATCTAGGTTGCACAGAGAGGTTTCTCTTAAAAATTCTACATTACCTCTTTCGTACTCTTAGAGAAGTTGAATATTTTTTATTTAAGCGTAATAATACTATTGCAACCTAACTTTTGTTTTATCACCTTTTCAATTCAACGCGATAACACTTGCTCCTTCAATTCAACACTATTTACACACTGAATTACATGTAGTATCAGTGAAATTCCATTGAGCCCTAGCCAAATTATCCGGCAGTTGGGTCATTGAATATCAAACAAATCATCGTTCCTCGTCAAGGTCAAGGAAAACCAACAGGCATCAGTTAATCGTACGCTATGGACTGGCCCATGTGGCAGTGGTTTTACTTTCGCGTGTATCCACTTTAACTAATATATTTCTGTAATAACGTCCTCTATGTTGTACAGTCTTCAAAGCATCTGTGGTACATTGATACGTCAATGGGGTAGTCCACGTAGGGTGCTGACCACGAGGTGTGATTTCGACACTAGCTGGTTCGTCACTCCATTCCCGTCTAACTCGAGTAGGCCTCCGATCACTTGACATAGGTCATCTACGTTGGTGATCCACATACCCGTGCTTGGGTATGACAATTATTATTCTTAGTTCCTAGGTCACCAACGATACCTATAGCCAATGAAATATCAATTATTTCATATTCACTGGTGAGGTATTAAATCTCTTCGCCAATGACTCACCATATGAATATATCAGACCAACTGAGGTCAGGTAATTATTTATAGTAATCAGTATTTTGGAACTCATCAAATGTCATTATTCTTGTTAAATCAAAAGTATAAACACTCCACAAGATCCCATTAGCCTGATTGACATGGAATATTCTGAGCAACAGCAGTTTTGTTCAGGTTAAACCATATAATGTGATATTCAACTATTAGTAAATCGCCAAAACAACAACATCAGATGCTTAATATTTGAACAGAATCGGTCTTCATTCTTCAAAAAATAAGCCTAATTATTCTCGCTGTAGAAAGATCTCACCTACCTTTTTAGATAATGCATGAAGCATTCGGGCGCTCACTGCTGTTGTATGTGTACGCAACAAATTTTTCTCCGCTTCCTCTATTAGCCATGGTGACTGATAGCCTCGACTACCAAAAGCACCTTGACTATGCACAGTACGAACTTTATCAATGTAACAAGATTCAACTGTATTGTTGATATCTGAAATCTCAGGATCTACAGATGAAAATATAGTAATTATGGCCCATGAAGACAATAGAAATGAAGCTATAATCAAGTCGCAATTGATTTCAGAATTTACAATACAACAACACATTTTAAATAATCACATTTTCCATATAGTATGCTAGTCATTATAAAACATAAATGACATTAGTTTGGAGCATTAATTCGTAATCAGCCGGTTACAAGTACGGCGAGAACACCAGCAAACTAAAACCAAACAAGTAATCCATTGAACTGTCGTAGAAAGAGAAACATAAACAAAGACCAACCGTAACAGCATCTCAAATTAAGTTTCATATTCCATTCCAACTGGTGTATTTAGTTCTAATCGCAAAGTATCAGTCACTGTAGACAATAAACAACAACAATCATACTCTAGTTGATCGGTTACATATGAACACATACTTAACTTGGTAGTGATATTCATCGAAACACTGGCATACCAGTTGGTCAATCATTGTCTTTCGTTCATTTTAGATCAAACTTTTAATGATGTTGGTCTGTAAAATTAACAGATTAATACATAACATCAAACACATTACATAACCGAGTGAATAAATAAATGGGGGAACTGTCTACTAAGCTAAATATCTTTGTCAAGTAGAGACCCAAGATGAATATGATGCAATTATATCTCACAAGACTTCCGACAGTTTAGAAACTGTCAGGTAATGAGTTCAAACACTTGAAGTCCATTTAAATCAGAACAAGGAGGGATGAGTGTCGTTAAAACTTGCGTAGATACATTTCAATTATCCTTACAATGGAAATTGCAATTTTCACGAGTTGTGAGATAGAGACGATGAATTACTACTGTATCATTCACATTGCTACTTCGGCACATTTTCTCTTTATTCTCTGTGATTATGTAAACTGTGGTCAGATAGACCGACAAACATTTTGCCTAACTCCATATTGTTGGAAGATGACTAGCACTAACTGTATGCACTTTGACAATGGACTTTTGTCAATAATTAGAATATAAAAACAGTACTGCCCAACGAACAAACAAACCAACCATCCTACAGAAGATATTCACATAGACACAAAAAGACTAAATAATTCGACGCAAAAAGCCCATAGCAGGCTAATAATTTACCTGCAAGGAAAAATGTATCATGAGAATCTCGAGCAGGATGTTGTTGTGGTTGAAAAAGACTATCGAAATTCCAAAAACTGCACTCAACATAATTGTTCGTAGGCATTTCTGAAAACCTGAAATGTTTAGGATACGGAATGAATGTGATGAACAGAAATGGAAAATCAGGTCTCTTAAAAACTAAGGTACCGTTGTAAAGTTTTCAAAACTTATGAAGGCTTTTGAGAATGCTTTTTCATTAAAAAGACAACTCATGATGACTATGAAGTAAATAGTGGAAAATTACCTTTCAACCACATATCAACATGGAAAATATACATTTATTTCCATTAGTATTAACGGAATACTCGATTTGCACAAACGTGGCCTACCATGGCATAGGACTATGAGATCTCGTTCTTCACTGATATTGTTTAATTTGTTTTGAGAGAACTACAACTTGACAAAATGGGTAGTAAATGACGTTTAGTCTCTACGATCCTTCCTAGTCAGATTAGAGTGACTTGAACACTACATGCTAGACCTACCTAACTTCGAAACACTGAACATGAATACTACATAAATATCTGCAAATAGTCTGCGCTGGCGATCAATGATACTTCTAGTTAAAGGATTTATAAGGTCCGACCGAATGGAGCTGTAGGTTAGGCGATTCCCTTTCAAATGTTCGATCAGAGCTTTTCAACCACCACTCGCATTCACCATATTTCTTACAACTGACTAGTCAGTACCTTGGACATTAGTACAAAGGGTGACTTACAAGTTGATGTGTGTGCATCCATACTTCCCAACGCGATTGATTAACACTACAACTACGTACTTAAGACAAGTAAGCTTTCAGAAAAATGAACCCAATGAAATTAACCCAGTAGTTGATAATTTTAAAATAATATTTAATAATGATTAACTAGTTCACAACTCACCATATATCGTGCGAGAAAGTCGCGACATATTACTACTTACAAATTGGTAGTTGAAAATCAAGTATGCACAACACTAAGACTCAGTTACAAAACTACCCTTAAATGCAACATATATACCGAAGACAGATTGTTTTTTATTCTATTGAGATCAATCATTTGCGGACAACCACAAAAAAACAAACAGCTGCGTTATAACGGAATATAACGTTTTATATCATTGGTTAAGTTATAATGTAAAACCGAGAAAAAGTTCCAGAACACATTGGAGTGGATGGCACATTGATGAATTTTCGGTGGTCTTATGAACTATATTAACAAATTGAAATTCTATTTCACACAACACAAAATGATGTTGGGATAGTTGACATACAGGAAGACAATTGCATTTCCTACTGAGGATTTCGGTATTTTGAAGCATGTTAATTTTATCAAATCAACGGTAAAATCACACTCATTTTGTTAAGTACGTTCTGCAATGCCTAGGACAACGGGAGTGACACGCTGAAACTTAGAATGTAGATACAGCATATTGAAATATACCCTAAGGAAGTCAAACAAAAACTCCTATAATCATACAATCGTGACAATAGAAAAATAAATACGATTAGAGTACTAAATTAATAACCTTCAGTTAAAACATTCTCTATTAAGACACTACCACATATGAGTCCCTTTCAGTTGTCACAACATAGCAAGCACAATAAGACGAAATCATCGACATAAGTATAAGGGCACTAAAAGCAGTGAGAGTACTAGTGATAGTAGGAAAAGATTACCTATTACGCTTGTTTAAACATATAAACATCGGTACATAGGGGGGTCGAAATAGATATACGCCACACAAATTAGTTATCATTCAACTTTTGTGTGGGCTGGAATACTTTCTGGGTGTCCAAAGCGAAACAGGTGATTTCCTTAGAGATCCACTCCTCGAGACTTTGGTTTAGAGATCTAATCCACGATGCAGTCGAGCAACGTCAGGAGACCGGGTTCTATGGTGGCCGATGACCAAGAATAGGTTGCCACTTTACTTGTTCCCTGGGGATCCTAAAGCCAATGCACATCACTGGTTTGGAATCAGAGTTTTCCAACCCACCTAGGTGGATCTCCGTGCCCACCAACCCGGTTTAAGTGCCGGACATTCTCTTTTCGTCCCTCCAATTTCGTAAACAATACCCTCACTGCGAGAAGGAAGTGGTCAAATGAGAGAATTTCGAGGAGAGCGAACTCTTCACACTCACGGCCGTACCAGGGCATGTGGAGGCATAGGAAAGACTATGTATTGACAATGTGATTCGGGAGGAATTTGTGGAGTAAAAAACATAAAATATTTTTCGACCTTAGGATCTAGGGAGAAACGAAGAGTAAGTGTATTTGCACTATTTCGATCGCTTCCGAGACATCTCATCCAACATCTCTAGCAATTAGATAATCGTGTAGACCCTAATCTAGTAGTCCGCACATACCAACACGGCTCAAACAGTCAATCATTTTATGGACTCGTGCGAAATCTTGTTCTTGGCCGTCCCTAGCTTTGTCACATCTCAATCCAGCACCGACAAACGTCTATTGTTACGGCAGGAGGTAGTTGGAATACATAATAATATTCCGGTCACATAAACAAGTGGACGTTTACTATCTTGCTGACAGATTTTCCATCGTTACTTCGTTCTGTGAGCCCAACGTCAGCATTCCTTATTTGTAGGTCACAACACGTTGGCAATGCTTCGAAGGTTTCGATGACTAGATACTAGCAAACTACGGACACCTACTTTTAAAGGCCATGATTTGTAAACATGCTAATCTAGTAGTCCGCACATACCAACACGGCTCAAACAGTCAATCACTTCATGGGCTGATATATATATATATATATATATATATATATATATATATATATATATATATATATATAAGCCAAGGTGTCCTTGCTTACCAGATTCTTAACATCGCAAACACTGTACCATTCAACAACAAAATGATTGGTGAAATTATGAGAGCAATTACACCGAGATATAATCAAACGCAGCATTGTATTTGTTGAAAATACAGATTTAATAAATAAAACTGTTGTCTCCCAACACATGCTGAATTACAAATATTACACTGAATGAAACCATCGACCACATAAGCGGATAACTAACAGAGAAGAAATAGTTATATTGATACCGGAAGGTAACATGAACGAGCTTCTGATCGAATGCACAATGAATATCCAATCCACATATAACAATAAACTTTACAGTTAGACAGATAGATTAGGAATGGAATCTCCCGCAGGTTCGATATTTACGGATATTTTTCTAACAAAACTGGGGAACGAACCGTTTTACAAAACTTGGAATAATATTTAAAACTATCATTATTATTCATATGACACACTAATTGTATGCAACAAAATAGTTTGTCAACGAAAACTTCGAATCTCATTTAATAATGCATTGCCATCAGTACGTTTGATGTGTGAGGAGAAACCTAGTAACAAAAGATTTCTCGACGTATTTCCAACAACAATTTTACTACGAATAATAATAATAATAATAATAATAATAATAATAATAATGGTGATAATAGCAATAAAAATATTGTTAGTATTATTATTAACGGGATAACAATCATTCTAATTTGTATTAACTTTTTGGATACCAATCTGATTTACTTATAAGGACTCACTACATTTAAGTATGTGAAAAGGTCTTCAGTAAAGTTAAGAAGTTACATAAGAAGGGTATAATGACGTGTTTTGTTAGTGTATTTAGAAAACGATCAACGTGTAATGCACCATTTCCAACTAACAGCACTAACTTTAATGATAGGGAGTGAAGTAGTTGAACTCATCAACCACTCCATTTATCTTGAGATTCTCATCAGTACTGATAGTCTGGTGTCTCAAGAAATCCAGGCAAAAATTCAGAAGACTCGATCGGCTTTCGATAACTCGTATCACTTTTACCGTAGGTGAGATATCCGTCTGCCAACCAAACAGCGAGTTTACCATGCAGCAGCTCGCTCTGTACTTCTTTATGGATACGAAGAATGATCATTAAGAGTAGAGGGTATTAGTGGGTTACTGGTATTCGATCATAGGTGTCCACGAAGCATAGCCCGTGTATTTTGGGACCAGAGTAAGTAATGCATGGATTAGGAATAGGGTAATAGGTAAGGATGTCAAATCGATGGATGAGATAGTAAATCTTGATCAATTGAGGTGGTTGCGACATTTGTCACATATGCCAAACCACTACCTACCTCGACGAGTGATGTTTCCTGGTGCAGGGATAGGCTGGAAAAAAACTATAGGGGGCAAACCAAAACATGGAATCAGTCCATGAAGTCACTGACAATTAAACTTAGCAATGTTAATAAATATAGACTACCTGGTTTGGGTCTGCGTGACTATTGTAACCAGTGCTTGCAGACTTTGAATGTTATGGTCCAAAATCGTCTGCAATGACGCAGGTGCTTCCATTCGTTGTCTGTCCCTAAGTTCTGAACTTCTAGATTCGTCATAAACATTGTCGTGTTTTTGTTTCACTAGTTTATATTTTCTTTTTAAGTCGCGTCGTTAACGCTCAATCTTTCTTATTACCACTGATACTGTTACTACCTCTACGATTTTGGGATTTGACCTGACGATTTGATCTTTCTGTGCCAAGGGGTACGGCAACTCCAATCGATGTACATACGTACCAGGCTATATGTTGTGATTGATAAACTGACTGAACACATCAACTTACTCAACCATGACTTGTATATGCAACATTGTATATGTAACATTATATTTATGGCCTGAAGATATTAGAGACAATTATTCACTAAAATACTCCTTATCTTTTTTAGATTTAACAGTTGACAATCAACAGTAATTCCTTAATCAAATGTTCACTAAACAAAAAGTAATGAACAGATGTCAAACGAACACCAAGCACACATATTTGAGAGGTACGACTTAAACTCATGAAAAAAATATATCACGATAAAACAAAAAAAATGAGCAACATACCCCATATCACAAAGTATCCTACAGAATTCTGAGCGTACACGCAGAAGAGGATGAAGATGTCCAGATGGTAAAGCGGCACCAAGAGAGTAAAAGTTATAAGCCTTAAATTGAGCTGTTTGCCATTCCCCACTACCCAAAATATATTAACAAACCACATAAAAACAGAACATTAATTTGAATAGGAATGTTATAACAATGATAAAGTTAATAACACTTTGTGACAGAGTAGTTATTTGTACTGGGATTTCAGACACACTTATTTCAGAGCTACAGATTAAATTATGTGTAGTGGGACTTGAACTGAATATTCCACAGGTGAGTTAATTGAATCTTTATAATTACATTTTTCGACAAATTAAGAGCAACATGTACATCAAGCAAGTTATTTATATGATGCTAGCAATAAATGACAGTATCCTTTTGGACGAATGGATCTAATTTCACTGCTAATAGTATTTACCTTAACCGATTGTGACTGAAGAAGCAGGATAAAAACTAATTGACTTTAAGAACACATATAGTTTTTTAAGTTAGCCAAGTACATCAAACTACCACGGAGATTGATAATTTTAACCAATCGTATTAATTTTAGTGTGATTTGGCACAGCTATTTAATTAGAGCATAATAGAAACCAAAAGTTCCACAAAGTAAAACCAAGTGAACATAACGCTGATAACTACTACTTACGAAAGACACCAAAGAATTCTTGAGACAATATTACTATACGCACCTGATTACAGTACTCAAAGTTGTACGATCCTTTCTTTTCATCATCAAACTGCCAAACAGTGAATATGCTGTGCAGAAATCTGCTGTCAAACTTTACATCAGCTAAATCTAGCCACTGAAAACCCATAAATGTGTGAATTACGAGTACTCGACTATAGATGTCTTTGGAATTTTCATTGAAAATTGTAGGACCACTAAGATGGTGATTTTGAAGTTAGCCGATTTGAGTGTCGAGGCTACTGGCCATATGATTAGATTGCATTATACTAAGTGAGACACCATCTGCAGAACTATACAATGCTACTAGGAGCAGGGCTAAACTAAGTATTGCAAGGACGACTAAATTAACATACACTACTGATTCCTGTGGCCATCAAATGTTTTACTGAGAAATTAAATATATTTCAACACCACTGACGACAATTCATGATGTTGAGAATCCTAGATAGTGTTGCCCAAAACTAATAACAGACTGTAGTTTGCATAGAGCTACAGAAAGTAGTATTTTCATCTGAATTGTGACCATCAAGCTCTACTAGAACCCAAGCAAAACACCCGACCTGAGGATCCAAGACTCCCGTTAGTACTACGATATTTGTCGAGTTTTTTCTTGAGACCGTTCGGAAGGACAGAACTTTTATATAAATGGGCCGTTGAGTGAATTGAAGTGTAAACAAAATAGGAATAAAAACATATATATGAGCGACGGTGTAAATGTAACCAAGTTGTTCTGAATATAGTATACAGGGAAACAAAGTAGAGCATCAGTATATTCTCCGATGGTAGTCATAAAACTCGTGGGCTGAGATACAGGTTGCATGAACATCTAACTGGTGCGTATTTCATACTTTCAGAATGTAATTTATTTCTAAAAGACACTGAACGTTTGCCAATAAAGTGCGATTTACATAGCTTGTGTATTATTGCACAATATAACAATATCATCCGCATACTCAAGAAGTCTTTCTCTAAGAAACGGATCCACACTATTACTACGTAGTTTCTTTAAGGCTGTTTTCAGAACGTCATTCAAAGAGAGGTGGTAGTATAGAAGCGTTTCGATGGAGGACAGACATTTCCTGTCCTTGGTTGTACCACAGTATTTGGAGATGGTATAACTCGGCGGCCTGAGACGTTATCAGATATGGCTTAATAGAATCCAATGACAATCTTGTTGTATCTTTCTTTGAATCTCTCAGTTGTCTTATGAACTCAACTGTACTTTTCATTATGTACTATTTGTATTTACCTTTTCTCTTCGATTTTACTCAATTGTTTTCTTCATAATGTCATCTCCGTATTTTGTGTAGCGCATTCTATCCTGTTGCACAGTTGTACCAGATTTGTGTGTACTAAATAAATAATTACCTTGATGACTCGTCGTACCGAAGTTTCTTTACGTGTTATAAGTAAATGAATAAGGATAACTAACAAACTTGTCTTCAGAGTAATTAATTAGATGAGACAATTGTTTGCTCGAACAGGATAGAAATATATACATAGTATACTTCTTAATATACATTGTTGAGATCATTGACAAAGCTTACTTAATTACGAATAATAAGAATAATCTGTCGAACTGTGACTGTGTTCAAAGTACACCTTTACACCCTTTAGTATATTTGCGAGTGGCATAAAAAATTGATTTGGCAAAAATGGATGGTGGCTAGCAGTGAAATTCAGGATGCGCATTCCGTCCTATTTGGGACTCGGCATCTGGATGTACTTGCACCTCTGAGTTGATGCTTACTTCAAGACTCGAACAGAGAACCGTTCGCGTTATCCACTTATCCACTGAGTGGATAACCCTTAACTTGTGCTTATAATGCTCCCGATTTAAGGTAATCCACAAAGAATGAACATGTGCCAATAAGAGAGTGGTCTATTTCAGTCCTAAACATCAATGGGAAGATTCAAACAACCAATACAAAAAGTGAATTAGGTTGATTTGGGTTTCAAAAAGTGAGTATCTTATTTTGTATTTGTGAAATCCCGTTAGGTATGAAATCACAAGTGTGCCAGGTCATTATAATATGGCTTGGGACGATCCACATCTGACAAAATACAGAGGCAAAAACACTGTAATTTTAAGATTTCTCACCTGGAAAGCAACTCAGATGATAAATCTGTTTCTTCAGATCTTATATTTGTTGAAAATGATGGGCCTTTTCGTACCAAGTAGGATGTGCGCTTTCTATAAAATTACGATTGTGATGAAAATAAGATTAGCATACGATTCGGTAACTAGTTTTCGTTTTTTCAATTGGGACTTCTCGTTATCTGATAGAGGACGTTTAGATTCTTTTACATCTAACAATAAATGTTGTACATCATCCTTGACTTCTGGAATCTAATATGATATTTTTAATTAATTACACAATTACCAAACGATACAAATAAGGTACACCAGCTTCATTCTTAACTAGTGATACCCACTTCGACGAAAGGGCTTTGCTAATACCTATTTTAGCACCTGGAAACATTTTCTATCAAATTGTAAATTTGAGATCAGTAACAAACCAAAATATCACTTTGTGGTATCCCTGATTCTGGAATAGCACAGTATACTCTGTATTCATGACTACCACTGTTTAGAATCTCATCACCTTCATCTGTTAACTGTAAAATAACCTCGACCACATCTTTACAATCAATTATCTACAGACAGCGAAATATATAAGCGTTTTCTAGAACGCACCCCACTATAGTTTTCCAAACTTTTTATTCCTCCAACAACTACTTGATGATCGACTCCAAGCTTTTCAGCCAATTTATCTGATTTAAAATAACTTCCACCCGTTAACTCAAGAAGAATCAGGTTCTGAATGTCCATTGGGTTTTAATCGTTGAATTAAACAAGAAAAGGAAGGAAAGATCGTAGCTAGGTTACGTTAGCCCTGAAATTCAAGAAAAGGAAGAATTCTTTCACAGCTGGGATTAGGAATATGTTTTCTAGTTACGTAAACCTATCCCTTCTTCTTCAAATAAACAACTTTATAAGATCATCAACGAGCCTGTAATGTACAAATAGACAGTTCCCTTAGTGTTGTTCCTCTTATGTTGTCCTAGTATTAGTTGTAGGCATCTCAGTACTTATTTGACACTAAGAATTTTGAATCAACCTGAGTACAAAAGGCTTACACTACCAAAATAGTCCCATGCTTTAGCTAAAAATGAGTATACACTAATATTTTTGAAACTTATGCTTCCTTGAATAAGTTTAGAAAAATGTGATACAAATTATGGATTTCCACGCATTAAAATTAACAACTCGACTGCTTGCAATCCTCATATACAGCTAAATCCATGCCCCACAGAACTGCAGAACGCTCTTAACAAAATGACCATGCCTGAAACTGTACAACGTTAGTTTAATTGTGTATAGTGTTTTAGTTTTGACTTCTGAACAATCAATAAAGCGTGGAATAATAGAAGCGTGTGACACCCTCAGAGAACTGTGGATGGTGACAAGAAACTACATCTCTTCAGAAAATATGTCATAGAATGGTTATTATCACTCCCAACCCCATAGGATAGAAGCAACTATGTGTTCCATTATGTCATTATGAGGACAAACAGAAAGCACAGTCATACCCACAGTTATAGCAAGTCCTCTTGGCTTGTATTCACATAGAGGGACAATCAGAAGGAGTAAAAGAAAATAAGAAGGGTAATAACGATATTTGCTTTCCTGAAACAATAATGATAGCTGCATTATCTCTTTTTCTCGTTCACATTCGATTTTTTCACGGACATTCTTTTATGGTTAACACTGTCATTTATAACTTTTCAGGACCTACCGGGTCCACCTATCTACTTCCAATACTCAGATGACAAAGTTCTCTGAGGGAATACAGTGTCATCTAATCACCACGAGCGGAAAACCAAGCATGTTTGGGATGTGCTTTCTCCGTCTAAATGCAAGATGTTGCTTGAGAACTGCGTTGACTGAAGTGGTTGAGCGCGTTTAGCACCCCATTTATCTTCGAAGTCTCGCCAGACCTGTCGGTGCCTGACGAGATTTCGACAAGGTTTCAGAAAGCTCACCTGTCTTTTGTCCAGTCGCAGTATCTGCGGCATAACCGAGATGTCCGTCTATCAACTAAAGAATAAATGTATTGCGTAGCCTTTCAACCTTTCCTACTCCATGTTTACAAATCATGGCCTTTAAAAGTAGGTGTCCGTAGTTTGCTAGTATCTAGTCATCGAAACCTTCGAAGCATTGCCAACGTGTTGTGACCTACAAATAAGGAATGCTGACGTTGGGCTCACAGAACGAAGTAACGATGGAAAATCTGTCAGCAAGATAGTAAACGTCCACTTGTTTATGTGACCGGAATATTATTATGTATTCCAACTACCTCCTGCCGTAACAATAGACGTTTGTCGGTGCTGGATTGAGATGTGACAAAGCTAGGGACGGCCAAGAACAAGATTTCGCACGAGTCCATAAAATGATTGACTGTTTGAGCCGTGTTGGTATGTGCGGACTACTAGATTAGGGTCTACACGATTATCTAATTGCTAGAGATGTTGGATGAGATGTCTCGGAAGCGATCGAAATAGTGCAAATACACTTACTCTTCGTTTCTCCCTAGATCCTAAGGTCGAAAAATATTTTATGTTTTTTACTCCACAAATTCCTCCCGAATCACATTGTCAATACATAGTCTTTCCTATGCCTCCACATGCCCTGGTACGGCCGTGAGTGTGAAGAGTTCGCTCTCCTCGAAATTCTCCCATTTGACCACTTCCTTCTCGCAGTGAGGGTATTGTTTACAAAATTGGAGGGACGAAAAGAGAATGTCCGGCACTTAAACCGGGTTGGTGGGCACGGAGATCCACCTAGGTGGGTTGGAAAACTCTGATTCCAAACCAGTGATGCGCATTGGCTTTAGGATCCCCAGGGAACAAGTAAAGTGGCAACCTATTCTTGGTCATCGGCCACCATAGAACCCGATCTCCTGACGTTGCTCGACTGCATCGTGGATTAGATCTCTAAACCAAAGTCTCGAGGAGTGGATCTCTAAGGAAATCACCTGTTTCGCTTTGGACACCCTGAAAGTATTCCAGCCCACACAAAAGTTGAAGGATAACTAATTTGTGTGGCGTATATCTATTTCGACCCCCCTATGTACCGATGTTTATATGTTTAAACAAGTGTAATAGGTAATCTTTTCCTACTATCACTAGTACTCTCACTGCTTTTAGTGCCCTTATACTTATGTCGATGATTTCGTCTTATTGTGCTTGCTATGTTGTGACAACTGAAAGGGACTCATATGTGGTAGTGTCTTAATAGAGAATGTTTTAACTGAAGGTTATTAATTTAGTACTCTAATCGTATTTATTTTTCTATTGTCACGATTGTATGATTATAGGAGTTTTTGTTTGACTTCCTTAGGGTATATTTCAATATGCTGTATCTACATTCTAAGTTTCAGCGTGTCACTCCCGTTGTCCTAGGCATTGCAGAACGTACTTAACAAAATGAGTGTGATTTTACCGTTGATTTGATAAAATTAACATGCTTCAAAATACCGAAATCCTCAGTAGGAAATGCAATTGTCTTCCTGTATGTCAACTATCCCAACATCATTTTGTGTTGTGTGAAATAGAATTTCAATTTGCTAATATAGTTCATAAGACCACCGAAAATTCATCAATGTGCCATCCACTCCAATGTGTTCTGGAACTTTTTCTCGGTTTTACATTATAACTTAACCAATGATATGAAACGTTATATTCCGTTATAACGCAGCTGTTTGTTTTTTGTGGTTGTCCGCAAATGATTGATCTCAATAGAATAAAAAACAATCTGTCTTCGGTATATATGTTGCATTTAAGGGTAGTTTTGTAACTGAGTCTTAGTGTTGTGCATACTTGATTTTCAACTACCAATTTGTAAGTAGTAATATGTCGCGACTTTCTCGCACGATATATGGTGAGTTGTGAACTAGTTAATCATTATTAAATATTATTTTAAAATTATCAACTACTGGGTTAATTTCATTGGGTTCATTTTTCTGAAAGCTTACTTGTCTTAAGTACGTAGTTGTAGTGTTAATCAATCGCGTTGGGAAGTATGGATGCACACACATCAACTTGTAAGTCACCCTTTGTACTAATGTCCAAGGTACTGACTAGTCAGTTGTAAGAAATATGGTGAATGCGAGTGGTGGTTGAAAAGCTCTGATCGAACATTTGAAAGGGAATCGCCTAACCTACAGCTCCATTCGGTCGAACCTTATAAATCCTTTAACTAGAAGTATCATTGATCGCCAGCGCAGACTATTTGCAGATATTTATGTAGTATTCATGTTCAGTGTTTCGAAGTTAGGTAGGTCTAGCATGTAGTGTTCAAGTCACTCTAATCTGACTAGGAAGGATCGTAGAGACTAAACGTCATTTACTACCCATTTTGTCAAGTTGTAGTTCTCTCAAAACAAATTAAACAATATCAGTGAAGAACGAGATCTCATAGTCCTATGCCATGGTAGGCCACGTTTGTGCAAATCGAGTATTCCGTTAATACTAATGGAAATAAATGTATATTTTCCATGTTGATATGTGGTTGAAAGGTAATTTTCCACTATTTACTTCATAGTCATCATGAGTTGTCTTTTTAATGAAAAAGCATTCTCAAAAGCCTTCATAAGTTTTGAAAACTTTACAACGGTACCTTAGTTTTTAAGAGACCTGATTTTCCATTTCTGTTCATCACATTCATTCCGTATCCTAAACATTTCAGGTTTTCAGAAATGCCTACGAACAATTATGTTGAGTGCAGTTTTTGGAATTTCGATAGTCTTTTTCAACCACAACAACATCCTGCTCGAGATTCTCATGATACATTTTTCCTTGCAGGTAAATTATTAGCCTGCTATGGGCTTTTTGCGTCGAATTATTTAGTCTTTTTGTGTCTATGTGAATATCTTCTGTAGGATGGTTGGTTTGTTTGTTCGTTGGGCAGTACTGTTTTTATATTCTAATTATTGACAAAAGTCCATTGTCAAAGTGCATACAGTTAGTGCTAGTCATCTTCCAACAATATGGAGTTAGGCAAAATGTTTGTCGGTCTATCTGACCACAGTTTACATAATCACAGAGGATAAAGAGAAAATGTGCCGAAGTAGCAATGTGAATGATACAGTAGTAATTCATCGTCTCTATCTCACAACTCGTGAAAATTGCAATTTCCATTGTAAGGATAATTGAAATGTATCTACGCAAGTTTTAACGACACTCATCCCTCCTTGTTCTGATTTAAATGGACTTCAAGTGTTTGAACTCATTACCTGACAGTTTCTAAACTGTCGGAAGTCTTGTGAGATATAATTGCATCATATTCATCTTGGGTCTCTACTTGACAAAGATATTTAGCTTAGTAGACAGTTCCCCCATTTATTTATTCACTCGGTTATGTAATGTGTTTGATGTTATGTATTAATCTGTTAATTTTACAGACCAACATCATTAAAAGTTTGATCTAAAATGAACGAAAGACAATGATTGACCAACTGGTATGCCAGTGTTTCGATGAATATCACTACCAAGTTAAGTATGTGTTCATATGTAACCGATCAACTAGAGTATGATTGTTGTTGTTTATTGTCTACAGTGACTGATACTTTGCGATTAGAACTAAATACACCAGTTGGAATGGAATATGAAACTTAATTTGAGATGCTGTTACGGTTGGTCTTTGTTTATGTTTCTCTTTCTACGACAGTTCAATGGATTACTTGTTTGGTTTTAGTTTGCTGGTGTTCTCGCCGTACTTGTAACCAGCTTAATTTTGCAGAATGCGATATATGTGCATACGCACGTTCATATATATATATATACATATTTATATATATACATGCATATATATATATACATATATATGCACATATACTTATGTCGATGATTTCGTCTTATTGTGCTTGCTATGTTGTGACAACTGAAAGGGACTCATATGTGGTAGTGTCTTAATAGAGAATGTTTTAACTGAAGGTTATTAATTTAGTACTCTAATCGTATTTATTTTTCTATTGTCACGATTGTATGATTATAGGAGTTTTTGTTTGACTTCCTTAGGGTATATTTCAATATGCTGTATCTACATTCTAAGTTTCAGCGTGTCACTCCCGTTGTCCTAGGCATTGCAGAACGTACTTAACAAAATGAGTGTGATTTTACCGTTGATTTGATAAAATTAACATGCTTCAAAATACCGAAATCCTCAGTAGGAAATGCAATTGTCTTCCTGTATGTCAACTATCCCAACATCATTTTGTGTTGTGTGAAATAGAATTTCAATTTGCTAATATAGTTCATAAGACCACCGAAAATTCATCAATGTGCCATCCACTCCAATGTGTTCTGGAACTTTTTCTCGGTTTTACATTATAACTTAACCAATGATATGAAACGTTATATTCCGTTATAACGCAGCTGTTTGTTTTTTGTGGTTGTCCGCAAATGATTGATCTCAATAGAATAAAAAACAATCTGTCTTCGGTATATATGTTGCATTTAAGGGTAGTTTTGTAACTGAGTCTTAGTGTTGTGCATACTTGATTTTCAACTACCAATTTGTAAGTAGTAATATGTCGCGACTTTCTCGCACGATATATGGTGAGTTGTGAACTAGTTAATCATTATTAAATATTATTTTAAAATTATCAACTACTGGGTTAATTTCATTGGGTTCATTTTTCTGAAAGCTTACTTGTCTTAAGTACGTAGTTGTAGTGTTAATCAATCGCGTTGGGAAGTATGGATGCACACACATCAACTTGTAAGTCACCCTTTGTACTAATGTCCAAGGTACTGACTAGTCAGTTGTAAGAAATATGGTGAATGCGAGTGGTGGTTGAAAAGCTCTGATCGAACATTTGAAAGGGAATCGCCTAACCTACAGCTCCATTCGGTCGAACCTTATAAATCCTTTAACTAGAAGTATCATTGATCGCCAGCGCAGACTATTTGCAGATATTTATGTAGTATTCATGTTCAGTGTTTCGAAGTTAGGTAGGTCTAGCATGTAGTGTTCAAGTCACTCTAATCTGACTAGGAAGGATCGTAGAGACTAGACGTCATTTACTACCCATTTTGTCAAGTTGTAGTTCTCTCAAAACAAATTAAACAATATCAGTGAAGAACGAGATCTCATAGTCCTATGCCATGGTAGGCCACGTTTGTGCAAATCGAGTATTCCGTTAATACTAATGGAAATAAATGTATATTTTCCATGTTGATATGTGGTTGAAAGGTAATTTTCCACTATTTACTTCATAGTCATCATGAGTTGTCTTTTTAATGAAAAAGCATTCTCAAAAGCCTTCATAAGTTTTGAAAACTTTACAACGGTACCTTAGTTTTTAAGAGACCTGATTTTCCATTTCTGTTCATCACATTCATTCCGTATCCTAAACATTTCAGGTTTTCAGAAATGCCTACGAACAATTATGTTGAGTGCAGTTTTTGGAATTTCGATAGTCTTTTTCAACCACAACAACATCCTGCTCGAGATTCTCATGATACATTTTTCCTTGCAGGTAAATTATTAGCCTGCTATGGGCTTTTTGCGTCGAATTATTTAGTCTTTTTGTGTCTATGTGAATATCTTCTGTAGGATGGTTGGTTTGTTTGTTCGTTGAGCAGTACTGTTTTTATATTCTAATTATTGACAAAAGTCCATTGTCAAAGTGCATACAGTTAGTGCTAGTCATCTTCCAACAATATGGAGTTAGGCAAAATGTTTGTCGGTCTATCTGACCACAGTTTACATAATCACAGAGGATAAAGAGAAAATGTGCCGAAGTAGCAATGTGAATGATACAGTAGTAATTCATCGTCTCTATCTCACAACTCGTGAAAATTGCAATTTCCATTGTAAGGATAATTGAAATGTATCTACGCAAGTTTTAACGACACTCATCCCTCCTTGTTCTGATTTAAATGGACTTCAAGTGTTTGAACTCATTACCTGACAGTTTCTAAACTGTCGGAAGTCTTGTGAGATATAATTGCATCATATTCATCTTGGGTCTCTACTTGACAAAGATATTTAGCTTAGTAGACAGTTCCCCCATTTATTTATTCACTCGGTTATGTAATGTGTTTGATGTTATGTATTAATCTGTTAATTTTACAGACCAACATCATTAAAAGTTTGATCTAAAATGAACGAAAGACAATGATTGACCAACTGGTATGCCAGTGTTTCGATGAATATCACTACCAAGTTAAGTATGTGTTCATATGTAACCGATCAACTAGAGTATGATTGTTGTTGTTTATTGTCTACAGTGACTGATACTTTGCGATTAGAACTAAATACACCAGTTGGAATGGAATATGAAACTTAATTTGAGATGCTGTTACGGTTGGTCTTTGTTTATGTTTCTCTTTCTACGACAGTTCAATGGATTACTTGTTTGGTTTTAGTTTGCTGGTGTTCTCGCCGTACTTGTAACCGGCTGATTACGAATTAATGCTCCAAACTAATGTCATTTATGTTTTATAATGACTAGCATACTATATGGAAAATGTGATTATTTAAAATGTGTTGTTGTATTGTAAATTCTGAAATCAATTGCGACTTGATTATAGCTTCATTTCTATTGTCTTCATGGGCCATAATTACTATATTTTCATCTGTAGATCCTGAGATTTCAGATATCAACAATACAGTTGAATCTTGTTACATTGATAAAGTTCGTACTGTGCATAGTCAAGGTGCTTTTGGTAGTCGAGGCTATCAGTCACCATGGCTAATAGAGGAAGCGGAGAAAAATTTGTTGCGTACACATACAACAGCAGTGAGCGCCCGAATGCTTCATGCATTATCTAAAAAGGTAGGTGAGATCTTTCTACAGTGAGAATAATTAGGCTTATTTTTTGAAGAATGAAGACCGATTCTGTTCAAATATTAAGCATCTGATGTTGTTGTTTTGGCGATTTACTAATAGTTGAATACCACATTATATGGTTTAACCTGAACAAAACTGCTGTTGCTCAGAATATTCCATGTCAATCAGGCTAATGGGATCTTGTGGAGTGTTTATACTTTTGATTTAACAAGAATAATGACATTTGATGAGTTCCAAAATACTGATTACTATAAATAATTACCTGACCTCAGTTGGTCTGATATATTCATATGGTGAGTCATTGGCGAAGAGATTTAATACCTCACCAGTGAATATGAAATAATTGATATTTCATTGGCTATAGGTATCGTTGGTGACCTAGGAACTAAGAATAATAATTGTCATACCAAAGCACGGGTATGTGGATCACCAACGTAGATGACCTATGTCAAGTGATCGGAGGCCTACTCGAGTTAGACGGGAATGGAGTGACGAACCAGCTAGTGTCGAAATCACACCTCGTGGTCAGCACCCTACGTGGACTACCCCATTGACGTATCAATGTACCACAGATGCTTTGAAGACTGTACAACATAGAGGACGTTATTACAGAAATATATTAGTTAAAGTGGATACACGCGAAAGTAAAACCACTGCCACATGGGCCAGTCCATAGCGTACGATTAACTGATGCCTGTTGGTTTTCCTTGACCTTGACGAGGAACGATGATTTGTTTGATATTCAATGACCCAACTGCCGGATGATTTGGCTAGGGCTCAATGGAATTTCACTGATCCTACATGTAATTCAGTGTGTAAATAGTGTTGAATTGAAGGAGCAAGTGTTATCGCGTTGAATTGAAAAGGTGATAAAACAAAAGTTAGGTTGCAATAGTATTAGTACGCTTAAATAAAAAAATATTCAACTTCTCTAAGAGTACGAAAGAGGTAATGTAGAATTTTTAAGAGAAACCTCTCTGTGCAACCTAGATATCGTATTGGAATGATGAACAGATCTATGTTAGACCACCATTGGAAAACTGGAATTACGATGTCCGTTCAACCCTAGTATGAGACGCCTCATGAGCGTGCATCCACGGTCACACATACGGGAAAGTGACCTAGGACCTTCGGTTGGTTCGCAAGTTCAATGGATTTCAAAAGTCTCGTCTACCCCATACTGAAAATTATCATGTGGTTACTGGTGACTAGCTTTGAAAAAAACATTTCAGAGTCCTGGTGAAAAGCCGTGCCCAGTGTAGCCAAACCGTGTTGGGTGTGAGGGAGTTGCCGACCGAAGACAATAGAAGATGGTCACACGATATTGTGGATTGATTGAAGTTAGACATTAACGTCGTTGGATGCCGACTCAGTAGTATAGTGGATAAGCGCTTGAGCGTGAGACCAAAGTTTTTGTATTCGGTTCTTGCGTGCGTTCCATACTAAGACGAAACCATCTTCCAGTTGTAGTCTAACTGAGACCATTCACTGCTGCCAATAGCCAGCTCAGGTATTTTTATTGAGTATGGCATGGGATCGGCAACCCCATGCAGTTGAATATAACCCAGCTAGAAACGCTAGACAGAAAAAACAAATTAAGTCGTTTAAACCCTCACTCTGGAGTTGAAGGAAGAGTTATGAACGCGGAGATTCATCGGGTGTCACGAGGCTGATGCCTTTTCTCACAACTACAGCAACACTTAGTTAATCAGCGAAACCATTTGGATCCAAGCTGGACAGCAGAGGGTTGGTGCGAGAGTGCTGCTGCTGTTCACCGTTCACATATTGAAAAGTGCTACTCACATGTAGATAGGTACTCTAGTGCTGTTCAAAGGAGATGGGATGGGAGTCTCACGGGTCCGATATCATCAAAACATCCTTCAAAAGTAAGAAGAAGGGAATCGCGTTGAATGTTATCCAGTGTTATACAACCATCAATGATAACAACAACGACTATAAAGATCAGCTCTATGAGAGGCCGCAGTCAATCATAGCGAAGTGCCCAGGAAAAGACCTGATCATCTTGACGGGAGACCTAATCGACAAAGTCGGAATGGACAACACCGGATATGAAGATATTACGAGACGACATAGACTGACTAGTAGAAACGAACGAGAATGGTAACAGATTTGCAAATTTATGTGCATTCGACAAAGTGTCCATAACCGGCACAGTATTTCCACACACTTGTATACACAAAGCTACATAGGTTTCACCACACCACACCACGGAGAACGAGATAGATCATATCTGTACCTATAAAAAATTCGGAAGGACAATGGAAAACGTAAGGACCTGGGGATTAGTTGATATAGCTTCCGACAACCACCTGGTTATGACTAAGATAAAACTGAAGCTAAAGAAGCACTGAACAACCAGAGAAACAGAGGTTCAAAGGTTCAATTTAGCCTCCCTGCGATACTGACGGACTCAATAAATTCAAGATAACCCTCAAAAACTAGTTCCAAGCCTCATAGGATCTACCTTTAACTTGTCTAGTTGACCTTTTAATTTTCATATAAAAATGTCTTGACAACTATATATGATACAGTAATTAAAAGTCATTAAAGGTCATAGAAGTGTGAAATAAATAAGGTGATACGATGATTATTTGTGAATAAAATAGTGAAAATATAAGACATAAGTAAAGGGGAATGCAGTAATCATAATAATAATAACAGAATAATAATATTAGTTAAGGCCAAGGTAACGATAATGATAAGACATACTTCTTTTGTACGTATAGTTCTGGTTCGAGCTCATAGATGATGAGAGCTTCGGCTATTTTTAAGAGTTATATACTGAGAAATCGAGATAGATTTGAACGAATCTTATGAACGGACTTTAAATCACACTGTGGATTCGTAGAATGATTACAGTCGATAAGTTGTTCAAGTATAGAACTCCTAAATGCTTTCCTTTCACCCTTGTACATATGTGATCAGATTGTTCGAAATGTATTGTGAAAATATGTCACTTAATTCTGATAAACTTCGTCTTTTCATTGTATTATCGAAATCCACGATAGCTCTTGATGACAGGTTCCAACCCTTACCAGATCTACTGAAAGAAGAAACGACTACGGAGGACAACTGGAAAGTGATCAAAGAAGTATTAACTTCAAATTATCATGAGGTACTGAGCCGCAAGAAGCATCACCTTAAATAATGAATCTCCATGGAAACCCTGAAGAGTGTTCAAGAAAGACAGAACAAGAAGACTGTAATTGACAACAGCCGAACGAGACAAAGTATTGGACCAAAGACATGAGATTCGTGTGTCTTAGTAACGTTCTTTGTCCCTTTTGATGATGGGTAACAAAACTGAAACTTAAAAGTGTACTTTAAAGCGTAGTCTCAGAGATTTAATGATCATGTGGAAGCTCTTCATCATAACGCCTGTGAGAGCTTATTCCATCTTTTAGACCTAACTCAAATTGATCTCACTAGTCATTTTATATTCCTCTCACTTATGTGAAAGCATAAAGAAAAATAACAGTAAGACCACCACTTGCTTCTATTCTGAGTTTGTCTGATAAAGTCTCGATCCATTGGGTTGCATTATCTCTAAGACCCATAACAAGGAGATGTGTAGGACATACAGACACCAGTACCCGTACAACTTTCTTCCATGCTAAATACTACGACACCAATTAACAAACTAACCACGCTTTTCTGAAATCCAACCAGCCCCAGCATCAGTAGATAGTTCGCGGTGTGGAATTATTCGGAACGACATTCGTCGAATATGTCCAAGCCGCCGAACTCGGTGTTGATGACACTAGTTAAATTGTCACCACAATACGTTAACATACGGCCATGAACTTCGGCATTACAGAAATAGTGTTGCGGCTGGATGTCAACCACGGGGATGACTAAACATACTAAGTCGCTTTACATCCACAGCTAAGAGAGACCAGGTTGTGTAAGCTTAGAACAAAGGTTCTCCCATTTGGTGCCTAGTAAATCTAACTCTTTACAGCCTGATTAATATCAGAAAGACGCCAAAGGTGTCCCGAATCGCTACAGACACTCTGGATTTCTCTACATGTAAACTAGTTTCATTTAGTAAGCCACTATCGGCACCCACACAACAACCCAAATGCATAGACTTCTGGACTGTCTCTAGTTGCTGACTACCAAGGTTAGTTAGGAAGACAGGCATTTGCCGAATTTATATAAGTGCCTTTCACTTAGAGGATGCAAACCACCTGGCAAACCTAAGAAAACTGACTGCCGACTAGTTAAGTATGGATCGTACAGCTTGTATATCGCTTCGTAGTAATAAAATATCATTCCCATACTCAGTGTAGAATACTCTTGGGGTAACCTCAACACTGTTGTTATTTGCTTTCATCAAATTCGTTTAGAAAATGTTGTAGATGGCAAAGTGGTTCAACAGGAAAGGCATTCTTTTACACAACCACGTTAGCAGCAGCTGATCATGATATGATCAATTTAAATCCAGGCTTGAATTATAAGAAGAAGAGGGAGAGGTAACACATCGCAGGTGGGTGTACAGAGCGCCGGTTCTAGCCATAAACTGACAGTCGTCATCCAATGCGAGAGCAGAGGGTCCCCATTTTTCACTTAAGTGACCAATCTTTATGTCTGGATGGTCAACCTACATATTCAGATCTTCTCCCAGCAGCACACTGCCTTTTGAACGAGGATTCGTGAGATCACTTAACTGGTGGTAGAAATTACCCCTGATTGTATATGTATTACGGCATGTCGAGGCGTAGGTGAAGCTTAAGGCGAGGTATCGTTCCTCATATTTAGTCAAGAGAGTAATCTAACATAGCAGTACATAGTTGACTGTTAAGTTGGATCCAGTTGATTAGTACTAACTCTTTTCCAGCTCTCAATGCTGGAATAACACCAATAAAAGCAGACTAGGAACACACGGGACTATCGGATAAACTTATATAAAACAAGCTTTTGAATCGAGAGATGAAGAGAGAATATTCAGTACTTCATTAGAGTCTAAAATACGAGTTTTCAATCGT